AAGAATGTAATGGAGAAACAATACCCTGAGGAAGCAGATACGTGACGTGATAGGGTACATCTAAATGTCAAATGTTACACCGGATCCCTAATCAATTGTTCTCATTCTGTCTGTTAATGCTGATGGTACATCACTCTGTAGCAACCTAGCGCCATCCATGTGAGGCTACCACAACTATTTAGATTTTCCCAAATGATGACTGGTATAAAATTTTACCGGTTGCAATGTGTCCTGTTGCCCTGTGGTGTGGTCCTCATAGGTTCTTTGATGATGCTTGATAACCACAAATTTATGGAATGCCAAATGAGGTGAATGTATATGTACTGTCAATTGGAACTGACTGGGAGGCAAGTGGTCTTGGCTTGTTTAAGATTCTATCACAGAATTAGCCTAAATTATCAAATAGTCATGAAAAGCCTCCAAGTTATCGATGATAGGCATGCAATCTGAACCAGGTACCTCAAGAATACAAGTCAGCCACCTTGCTGCTACTCCCACCTGCTCTGTTGCCAATACAAAAGATGTGAAACCTGAATGGTCTAATTCAAGAGAAATCTAGCAGACTCGTCTAAGGCTATGACTCAAAAAGTGTTGTTTTGCCAATGATGATGATGATTCAAAAGCAGTTGTTATGGCCGTAAATGTAAGTTCATAAGGATTTTGAAGGAAGCTGACATGGTATTTTTTGTACTATTCTGCCATTCAACTGATCAAAAAAACAAAATTCCTCAGGATTCCCAATAAACAGCTGGGGCCGGATACCTCCAAAAAGCAAGCTTACATTATTAATGCTGCATGCAATCATCAGTGTGGTTTAAGTTCTTTATAAAACAAATGTTCTACCTATTACATATGAATGTTGAATGGCTGAATCTTACCTTGAGGAAATACCACATATTTGAAGTGGTTTAACTTTCAATGCATATCATTGGATGTACTCATATAGAGGTCTGAAGGAATGGCTTCAAACATTAACCTCAGCAGTATATGGAGGTATGTGGTCAGCTTCATGTCCCAGTCTTGTATTCACAGGACCTACTTGATACAAGATAGGGTGGTCTGAACTAGTCTGGGTGGATCAAGAGAAAGAAACCCTACCCCTGAACTCCATGAAACGTATTTCAAATATTGTTTTATACTCTCATTCTACAAGAACAATAAATATTGTTCCACAATAAAGTGTCAGGGCCGCACCTGGACCAAAAATAAATGAACAGGGTAGAGAAAATAACAAAGTTCAAAGCTGTCTATATTATTATTAGTAGCAGCAGTGGTGGCAGTGGAGCGAGCAGCAGCAGCAGTATTAGAATTATTATTATTATTATTAGTAGTAGTAGTAGTAGTAGTAGTGTAATCAACTCAAAGCTGATGTTGGTGGAGCATGTAGAATATATGAAGGGAATAAGAAAAATATACAAAATTTTAGTACTTGTAGGGAACCAGGCTTAAATGGGAGGATAATATTAAAATGAATTTTAGAGAAACATGGAGGTGTCGATTGGATTCGTGTAACTCTGAAGAGTCCAGATACTGAAAGTTGTGAACACAGAAACAAATTTTCCACTTCCATAAAAGGCAAGCAACTTGTGTTTGGTGGAACTGGTTCCAGTAGACATACTGACTAAACAATGGCAAATGCTATGATGTGTGCCACAATTTTTTTAAAATACACTCAGCTCTCGATTATCCGGGATAATGGTGGGGATGGAAATCACGATTAATCGAAAACCCGGTTAAGACAAATTTTATTAAAAGTAGTACTGTAATACTGTACCTTCATAATATTATAGGCCTACCTGTATTTAAATTTATTCAACCTCATTTTTATGTCATCTCATGGCCTATTTAATACTTTTTACATTACACTGAAGTATGAATTAGTTATTTCAATCACAGTGTTCAACAACATCCAACACTTTTATGAATATTCACATTTAACCATTAAAAAAATTTAATATTGTCGTTTGCTTTTTCGCGGCATTTTCCTTTTTACAGATATCCGTACGAAGCCTACGTAATATTACACTGTCACTTAATAAACTATTCTCTTCACTCTCAAGATAGTGTAGTAAGGATTCCAAACGATTAAGGGCAGCACCATGTGATATTTTCTTACTAGCAGCACTGACCACCTCTTCCTAATTCTCACTTTCTTCCCGCTCTTCTGGCTGCACCCCTACTGTTCCCTGTGCCCTTAGTTGATTAGAACAGATCAGCATTGCTTTTTTGAAATCATCATATGTTGATCTTTTCAAGGTTTTCCTCTTCTTCATTCTGCTTGAATTAGAAGACGAAGCAAAGGAAATTAACTGATTTTTCTGTTTTTTTTTTTTCAAATCACGAACAGTTTGTTCTCCAATACCATATTGCATTGCTAATTGTTTAACTACACCTCTTTTTCCCAACTGATTGATAATTTCAAGTTTCTGTCGAATACTTAAAATAACACGCTTCCTTTTACACTCTGACTGGGGCGGTGTATCTGTCCTTGAAACTTTCCACAAATCCTTGCATTATTTCACCCCTACCCTAGAACATTGTGTTAGCATAAAGGAACCAAAAAAATGCAGAGCTCGGTTCACACTACTGCGAAAATAGTGTTACAACTCACCATGTGAAACAAAAGTGAATGAATATTAAACAACATATAAGCCTCAAAAAAGCCCTGGTTAAGCCGCCCCCGGATAATCGAGAGTCGAGTGTATTTCCAACTGACATTTGTGTATGAACTTCATAGAAGCAGGTAACTGTATTTACTGCTGACAGTAACACTACTGTTGTCATGTTCAGAAATTTATTATAGTGAAGGTTCAACTAAAGCAGATGCACCAGTTCCTAACAGAACATTGCACATTACATATATGACTCAGATATGGTACATTAACCACCTGTTTGCATTGTTCTGACACATAAGACTTACCAACATCTTGAATTCAACAAAATTATTATGTGATACAGAGATGTCACTGCCAATGTATGTTAAATTGTGCAAACTATTCCACAAAATTTAAAGTCTGTGGTATTATTTACTGCATTCCTACAGATAAAAAAAAAACACTACACTGCACTAGAATTCACCGACTGATATACAAAACATATTCAGTCCTATCCACAATTTGTCATGTGGTATAAAGGCAGAAAATTTCAAAATTAATTTAATCATCATGGAAAGTATTGTAGCCTGTTAGACGACGACTGTGGAATAAGACAATATATGGCAGCCTTTGCTGAGTAACGGCTTTGCAAACAAACATGTTCCCACCATGACTGAACGAGTAGTGTTTTCTTTGCAGCCTTTGCAGAGGAGTTATAAAAAGAACAAAGTTCAGAGAGAGACATCTTGAATTGTACGAGTATATGACAGACCCATCTTCTCATCAGCAAGGATGTCACATAAGGACTATAACCACAAGAGGTCAGTTGGAAAATAAAAATTCTGGTCGTGGGTCTCAAAGGGCTTGTTACCAAGATGAACTGAGTGGCAGTACACTGCCAGATGTGAAGTAACTATGACTCTGAATCCTGACAGACAACCTCTCACCAGAGAGGATGTTGCATAAGGACTATGGAGGCAAGGGTCAAGTTGCAAAAAAAAACTTTATTCGTATGCCTCAAGGGGCTTGGTGCCAAGACAAACTGATACAAGCGACAGTATTATATTGATGATGACAGCAATGACAACATTAACTAATGTCCCTGTGCTTACTTAGTTAAGCACTGTGCTATGCAGATGCATGAGGGACTGGTAATATAGCTCCAGCATTCCTTGCCTTGTCGTGAGCGATCACCTTCACACTCAAGCCACTTTTGTCCTGGGGAAGAACCACTTGAACCCACTGCATAAGAGACTGTGTGGGGCCCAGAGCCAGTCTGGATACTGGGGAGTACAGAATTTGTTTTTCCTTGCCAGGAGTCAAACCCTGGCCATCCAGCCCATAATCTTTTGCTACACTGGCTAAGCTAGCCTAACTCATCCAGCAGTAACATAAGAGTATATATTCTGTGAGATAAACTCAAAACGTTCTTCTTTCATATTAGGCTAATTCAGTTAAGCTTCCATTTGGTAACTATGGAATATACTGTCACCTTCCGCATATATAGGGAACTACAAAATCATCTACATATGTACATTACTTGTTCTGGAAATGATGTAATGCAAGCTTAATCTCCTGGGTACCACCAAAGAAAAAATATATCACGTGATCTTGGTACTCAGAACATGGCCTCCACGCCCAATTTAACAAGCAGGGTCTTATTCTCAGATGTCACTGTGACCTTGCTAGTACCTAAAACAAGACACTAAGCAATTACAAGCATTCACTGTCTGCTCTAACAAAAACAAAACTGGAAGATGATTCTTAATGAGTGGACACTGAAATGTCCACTTCTTGTGCATTTCCTGCACTTGGACAAAATTCCCATCGAACATTCATCACTTATTTTGTTATAAGACACCCTACACTGATTAATATGTCACCTTAAAAACAGTGCCAACTTCATGCAGTTACCAGGGAACTATCAAAATATATATATTTTATTTATTTTTCATATCCTTATTACATACTACACAATGAAAATGTGCAGAGAAGTGGAGGTATAGATCCATGTAGTCTTAACATCAGTACCAGATGAAGACGAGTGGTCAGCTTCATGCCCGTGATTTTACCTCTAGTAATCACTAGATAAATGGCTGCATGAGCCAGTCTTGAAGCTGTGGAGACGAAAAAAAAAACTCTTTGCTCCTATTGGGAATTGAACCATGATATCTTGGCCATCACATAAAGGTAACTTTAATTTTACATCTTATACACTTCTGCAATCCAAAAGAAAGTGAAAAAAGGATGCTGCACAAAACTCACAACCAACATATGCAGTAGAAAAACTTTAGCCATGTTGTTGCTTGTTTTAAAGTGTAACATATATGTATTAAGGCTTTAGGTGTATTGATACAGTGGGAAAAATACTAATTTTATATGCTAAAAAAATCTACGAACACGATGGAATTGTGCCACAAAATATCGACAATATATCATTTATTTCATTTATGATTTTCTTCAACTTCCAATTACAAAGAGTGAATACTATCCATTGTTACTAAACAAAATCAAACTTTTGATGGAGGCAAGTGATATGGCTATCCTATTCATTGATTTCTGACTTGACCATTTGTAAGGAAATCATATGTTCAAGCTAATAACTCTATTATACATGTGACATCGCCACGGAAATCATATGTTCAAGCTAACAACTCTATTATACGTGTGACATCGCCACCTATTAATAACTATGCAACAGCTCTTAATGCTTAACCCGTGCAAGATGAATTCCTTATTGAATCATGAAAAGTTTAACAGTTCCATCTAGTGTGACTAGTGAAGATTTTTCTTATTTCAATTTCAATTTCAATCTTCACCAGTCACACTAGATGGAACTGTAAACGTTTCATGATATTGTTAGTGTGATGGAGCAGAATGAAACAAATCAAATTCCTTATATCTTCTGATCTACACAATGGCCCAAAAGTCAGTTAACTGGTTAGTAATATGTTAATTAAAATGTCAGAAATTTATTTCATACTTACTGAATTTATGAAAACTGTTCAAATAAGATCCTCAATGTTGAATGAACAACTCATAATGCTGTGATAACATTCTCTAGGTTGACTGGCAGTTTCAAATCTAAAAATTATGTTAATATAAGAGGATGTTTCAGGTTAATGTCTTTTGGGCCTATCTGTATATAAAATCCATTACCATCCTCTGCTCTATGAAACTGCAGAATATTGAAATACTTCATAGCGACAAGTGTATTAAATCGAGACCATAAAATGTCAATTTTACATGATCACAAATTGTAAAACTTGTGTTCAATTTATCAAGATTATGAAACTATTAACAGCAAATGATTTCAAAACAAACACTTTAAACCATGAGATCCTAATGAAAAATTTTTCTTACTCATGCAAATCCTCATATCACCCACCAATTACATAATAAAAATAAACACACCATTTTTCTCAGGATGCTATACTGAGATGCAGACACAGGTGTCTTAGTTTATATTTGTGGCCAAATATGAGCTACCAAGATTTTAGCAAGACACGGTCACTATTAATTTCATTAATCCACATGTGAGATCAATACAGCATCATCTTGTTTACGGACCACTGTTTGTTGAAGAAAAATTTAAATACTTACAGACTGAATATACATAGTCACCACAAAAACAAGATATATTAATTAACTTTTATTAAAAAAAAAAACTTACACAAAATGTCCAGAAATTAAATACAATTTATGCTTTTTGAATCAGTAATATGCATAAAATGAATATATTCCCCTATAGGGGGCATGAAATTCCTCCTTTGAAACTCATTTTTCCCAAATATACAGTCACTGATAACAAATGTCAAATTTCAGAATATAGTACACATACCACAAGAAGGGAATTCTTGCTATAGAACTGTGAATGCTATATCACACTATATAAGGAGAACTACAAAGTACCAAAAAAAAAAAAAATAATAGTAAAGTACATATTCTCTAACACCCACCAATCATACAATACATCATTACAAGTCTATGACTTGGGGGAGGGGGAATACAATCAGCCCTCATAACCTGCTATGGAAACATTCATAGTAAATTATTATTACAATATAATAATACAGGTATATCTAAAGAGGTACCTTAAACATAATGATCAAACTATTCAAGTTGCTACAGGTGCTGGATGCATCGACTGTTCATGCTTTCTTAATGCCAACATGGTACGATATGTTTTGTCACATCTATGACAGGCATATGTATCCTTAGGCATGTGTTTTTCAGCAATATGTCGAGTGAGTTGAAAGTTCATGAGGAACGATTTAGAACAAAGAGTGCAGGAATATGGCCGAAAGCCTAAATGAGTCTTTTTGTGACGCCACAAGATGGCCCTTCTTGAAAATGACAATGAACACTGGTTGCATGAGAAGGGACGTTCGCCTGTGTGAACACGCTCATGGTCTATAAGGTGTTTTCTGATTCGGAATGGTTTCCTGCAATACTGACAGGAATACAGACCTTCGTGACCTGCTTCTTCATTATTATCATTGGTTACAGGAAGTGGTTTTACGATACTCTTGATGCTTGGAAGAATTTTCCTTGTATGCAATCTCTTGTGTCTGCTCAAAGTCGATGAAGAACTGTAATCTTTGAAACATACATTACAAGTACGGCGTTTCGATACCATTTGTCCCTCAGTCACATTCTTTTCAGTATTTTCTAATTGAGTATCAGCTGGTGGTGGCTGTTCCTTCCCTAGGGAGGGACACCTTGTATGCCATCCTTTGTGTCGTATCAAAGCCTTCTTACTACTGAAGACCCTTTCACACATCAGGCATGGGAAGTGTCTGGCTTTTTCAATTTTTGGAGCATTTGCAAATGAAGAAACTTTTGATTTTCCTAAAAGAATGGTTTCTTTTACCTGTGTTGTTGTTTTCATTGAATGCAGTATTGGTTTGACTGATAATGCTGATTTTCCTGGAATCAATGCCGTGGGTATTAGATTCTTAATATAATTTCTTTTAGGAGGGCAATTTAGTTTTCTGTGTTTGGATAATGATCCACTATTAGCGAATGATCTATTGCAATAACCACATACATATACTTTATTTCCTTTAAATGGCAGTAAATGGTCTGGTTCCAAAGGTTTCCTGGAATGCCATCCTTTATGCTTGCTTAAAGAAATCTGGTCAGGAAAATCTCTCTGACATAACAGACATGGAAATTTCCACACCGGATCTGTCAATCCAGTGTCATCAGAAGGGTTCTCTGTTGCTGAAGTACCTGATATTTCATCCATCTTGCAAAAGTCTCTCTTCACATGGATCAGCTTGTGCTTACCCAGTGATGCCGAATCAGCAAAAGTCTTATTGCAAATGTTACATATGAAACACTGGTCCTCTTCATCCAGTTCACTTTCAGAATCTTCAGCATATGGACTCATTCCCAAAGCACCTCCGTGCTTCTTTCGTTTATGTCTGTTTAAGGTTGAAGAACTGTTATAGGAGTTTTTACAAACACCACAAGTATATATCTTGAGCTTAATGTGCATTTTTTTATGCTCATACAACTCAGCTTTGGATATAAATGTTTTCCCACATAGCTTGCACCGGAACCTTATGGATGAATTATGAAGTCTCTGATGCTGTTCCCAATTCTTCAAACCATTAAATGACTTTGAACAAATAGGACATGTATAATATTTTGATCGCGTATGAACGCCCTTATGATTATTCAAAGTCTTCAAATCTGGGAATGTTCTTGAACATACATTGCATGTATATTCATGGTCTTTACCTGAATGGATTTTGGCATGCTTTATTAACAAGTGTTTGTATGCAAACAATTTGGAACAGATGTTGCATTTATATGCTCTTCCACCCATGTGGATGATCTTCATATGGTTCTCAAGCAGTCTTTTGTTTGAGAATTTCTTAAAGCAGACACTGCATGTGCACACATACTTAACAAAAGACTCCACATCATCGATGTCCTCACATGGAACATCAATGGTGATCACTCCCTCCTTTTCACCTTCTGGTTTCTTATTTTTCTCAACAGATTTTTTACTACTCTGCTCTACCATACATAATGCTTCTTGTTCTTCTAGTGCTGGAACACTGAACATTGCACGAATATCCTTGTAGCTCATCTCCACATTATGAGCCAATCGCATGTGTTTGTGCAAAGATGAAGCATATCCCATTGAAATATTGCATATCACACAGGAAAACAGTTTAAGTTTTGTGTGACTTGTCATATGTCTTCTGAGAACAGACTGAGTTTTGACCCATTTTTTACAAACTGTACAACTATATCCATTACTGTGGCTCATGTTAACATTCTTTACCACTGGTTTTGAAACTATAGCACTGGGAGTGGTTTTAGTTGCAACTACAGCAGCAGTGGAGGCAGCAACATGTCCCCTCATTGTATGGAATCTCTTGTGACTCACTAGTGATGTAACATTGCTGAATGTTTTCTTACATATCTTGCATGAATAACGTTTGAAACCATCAAAATTGTGTGTTCTCAAATGATTACTAAGAGCTATTCCACCATTAAAGGATTTACCACATCTGCGGCAAGAGAACTCGTCATGGCTTCTTCTATGCAACTGTAACTTATTTACAGTGTCAAATGTCTGTCTACAGATGTAGCAAGGATATGAGTCTCCAATGTTAGAATCTGCTGTCATGGGAACACTCGATTCAGGTTTTGGAGGTTCTGACTTGGCAGTGAAAGTGCTACATGTGAGCTTATGCTTTGTATATTCAGACCGGTTCTGGAAACCTTCAGAACAATCCTGGCAAGTATATGGTTTCTGTCCAGTATGTAACCTTACATGTCTATCTAGATTTGATTTACATGAAAACTGTCTGTCACAATAACCACAAATGTGACGGGCTTTACGATGAACTTTCTCATGTCTCAAGTAATATGACCTAAATGGAAATGATTTCCCACATGGAATACAATAATAATGCTGTTTTCCATCGGCAGCAGGAAAACAAAAATATCGCTTTGGGCCGGACAGAACTGCATTCTCATCTTGATCGATTTCTGATGGAGAAGAGGACAGTCTCTTCTTTCGAAGAGTTAATGGCTTCCTTCTTTTTGGTTTCTTCTTTAGATTGCCAAACTCCACTTTAATTTCTTTCCCTACTTCAATGACTACATTATTTGTTCCATCAAAACACTGCACATCAGCTACAAATGGATCCACTTTATCATTTTCTTTTGACGTTTCTGTACCTAACTGTTCTACTAATATAAGGTCAGCATCAATGGGTTCACTCTTGATAGGTCTCACTGGCAATGCTCTAGCAGAATCTGTTGCTGTCAAACTTAATGGATCATGCAAAACTTCAATATTCAAGTCTTCTGCTTCATCACAAACATCACAAACTTCTATGTCTTCCTGTTTTATGTCCAACAGAACCTGAAAATTATAATCAATATCAATACATATTAGCAAGTGTTCTGCACTCAAATGAAGCTCTACAAAACAGTAAAATTACTTTCTGTAAACTTTTTTTTGCTAGTGGGGTGGGACTAAGTCCCTTGTACTGCGGCCACTTCTGGCCTATTATACCAGTCCCAGATGATAGGCGGGGGTGATTGTGGAGCAATTGGTGGAATGAAGATTGGCAGGGGGAAACCAAAGTACTCGGAGAAAACCTGCCCCAGTGCCACTTTGTCCACCACAAATCCCACTTGACCAGAACCAGGATCAAACCCGGGCCGCCGCGGTGGAAAGCCAGCGACTAACCGCTTGAGCTATGGTGTGGCCCTTGTGTAAACTTAATCACTGACAACAGTCTCATACACACAGATTACTCTTCTCTGTCTCATATACATCTTATCTTACTACGACACGTTTCCGCTGTATATGGTCATCATTAAGTATGTGTGAGCACTACTAAAACTGTTTCACATTTAGTTATATATGGACACTGAAATTAACGATATGTACTTCTAAAGTCTTCCAAAGCTAGGCTGCCTTTTGAAAGCAGGTTAAAGTCCACTGCTGGCTTCTAGAGCCTCTTCCTATGGCATGAATGTGGCTCAGACTTCAGGAGGGTAATAGTACAAAAGAAATGAGGAAAGCAAAACTTGTACATTTACAATGGTTATGCCATTATGCAGCGAGAAAGGATAATATTCATTGTACATACATGCAAGTTGTGTAAAATTAATGTTTTAATACTGTAGCATCTACAGCTGTTGCTATGCAACAACCATGAGATGGTAGGATATACCAAGGTAGCTTCTGGGCAAGGGCTTGGTAAACACATCTCCACATCAACAAATCAACATGCAATGTAAGAGGTATTGTTGGAAATGGGGTGTTTCTATATGGTCTGTGATGAGGAGTCATCTTGAAGACAAATGAGGTGACCAAGTCAGTTCTGTATGGGAGTCTGGCAAGAGAACTTCCACACGTGACGCTGAAGAATTTCCACTGTTAGAAGCCATTGCCAGGGAACATCTGGTGCAGACAGAGCAGGCTAGAAAAGGCTTAGCAGGTACTGTAGTGATTTGTGAATTGTGGAGATTAGCGGTGGCACTGTAATTGCTTGTAGTTCTGAGTCATGTGCTCAATAAATCCATATCCATTCCAAAACTCCATCTGTAGTCACACTCTAAATTGTGACGATGCAAGGATCATTATAGAATACAAATTAAGGAGAACGTTTTTGGCTCCAAATACTTCAGCATCCCTACAAACGACATTAACAGCTGATGTGCATCTAGCAGAGGAACAAATTTTACATAAGCAGCAGTCATTGCATAGTTTCTGATGCACTTAGCAGGAACATGAAGAACAATAGTTTTCAAAAGAGAAGGACAGAATTTTGAACAATGTAAACTTCAATAAAAAAAGAGTACATTGAGACGATGCCTCCTCACATGCAAAGTGTGAAATTTTAACTTGTCCAAAACAACAGAACAGCTGTAATGGACTTGAGGAAAGAAATGATTAAAATACAGCACCGCAAACCTCTGCTGGACGTGTTCCATCTTGTTGGTACCATTTAATATAACTGAATTCCTGACAACAGACGGGTATTCCAGCTAGATCTAATTAATGTAATATTATATAATCTGTACATGCATTCATGGAATGAAAAGGTGAAGGGAAAGCTACAAACTAGACCCAACAAGTTGATGCAATGAGAAAAAATATGGCTAATGTGGTTATGAAAATGAAGTTTAGAATCATACATCAGTACATTAGTTTTCCTCGAGAAGAATATAACTTTCATTTTACTGACACTGAGTTTCATACAGCTAGCACTACACCAACATTGTGCAGAGTTAATGCCTGACTTGTATATTGCTGTCTTCAGGAGATTCAAAGGTTCAGCAGATTTTGATGTTGTCAGCAAAAAGTATATAATGTCCTGATGAAAGGGGTGCAAAATGAAATAATTATATCTCAGAAAACATTTTTTATATACATTTATGAGTTACACCATTATAAAAGGAGATTAAGTTTTTTTCTGAGTATATAACTTTCTCGATAAATTTCAATATGGGTTCCCTTGGTGGCACTGTTGACTGTGGAATTTGTAACTGCAAGCTAGCAGTACAGACTGATTTGCGCGGACTTCACTGGAATGCCTCTCTAATGCGACTGACGGTATCTTCAGAGGTCCGTGTCTTTCCAGGAGATTTTACATGCAACAGACTACCTGTAGTCCTCAGTTTGTTGTCCCAGAACCAAATACTTTTCTGTGTAGGAGGCTGACATCCATATTGCGTTCTAAAATGACGCCGGAGAGCCATAAGAGATTGCAACTGTGCTAGCCAAAACACGCATTGACCCTGCTCCTGTAGCATCGACATCATTATTAACCTTGCCGAAGGTAAACTGCTGGCAAATGCACATAAGCCGGGCACAAAATAAAACTTCCAGAGTTTTCCTTCCCAGTGACATAAACTGGATACATGTATGACAATTAGTTTCTGAGATATAAATTTCTTATTTTGGATACCTTCTATCTGGACACCTGTACTTGGTGTGGGTAACTGCATCACATAAGTCATTAATAAACATGCTGAATTGCAGGAGGCCCATGACAGGTTCCTGGGGAACACCATAGAGAACATTTAAAGGTGAGGAAAGAATACCAGAAACACCAACCTGAGATTTCCACTTCGATAGCTAACTGCTAAACCAATATATCATAGTCACCAGAAAGCCCAAATACACTAAGCTTATGAAAATGCAGAAAATATGGGACAAGGTCAAATGCATCGCTTCAATAAAACAAAAAAATGGCATCAGCTTGTCTCTGAGAGCAGACCAAAGGCGAAATAATATCGACAGACGTTACCAAAATGGTGATGCCAGATTTAGATTTGGGGATCCCATGATGATGAGGACTAATTTTAAACTTTAGATAATGCAATACATGGTCATTAATATCAAATTAAAATAATTTGGAAAAATGATTATGAAGGGATTTTGGTCTGTAACTGCTAACAAAGGCACTGTTGCCTTTTTTAAAACAGGAATAACTGCTAAAGAATGCCGACGTCTGGGATGTGGCGCTGCGTAGATCTTGTGTGAACCGATGTTTTTGGAGAACGTGTCACCTCCATCTTCAGGATAGAAAAATCTGTGAGTAAGGAACCAGCATGAGCAGGTAGCTAGCAGACTTGTTCACGGTGGCTCCTTGCTCACCAATTTTTCTTCTCTGAAGATAGAGGTGACACATTTCTCAAAAAACGTCGGTTCACAAGATCTACACAGCGCCACATCCCAAAAGTTGGCATTCTTCACAATCACCGCTGTCAAAACCACAAATCCTAAGGAACATTCCTCTTTGCTTCCATAAGGTAGGAAAATACAGCTGAGATAAGCTGAGATCAAAATTATCTTAAGAACAGGTACTAATATACTGGTACAGCCCTTAATAATAAAGTCAGGGATGTCATCAACTCCAACAGATTTGGATAATCTCAGCTGATTAATAGCTTTAAAAACATAAAAATCAGAAACAGGAGCTAAATAAGAGTACATAAATGGATGACAAAAAGGTGGGGAAGATAAGACAAAGACTGCTGTATACTGACCGAAAATGCTTTGAAAACTTGTCAGCAATTTCACAATGCTCGATTAAATGCTTACTATTAAATTCAAGCTGGACAGAAGTAGAATTTCTTAGGATGTGACTTCAAATTTATTTAAATATACTGAACTTGAGAGTTATTATTTCAAGTAAAGCAAACCAATTCTCTACTTCTCCTACACTCAGTGTACTTGAAATGTGGTGAATAAATTGTGGTCATCCTCTATGTCTAGTTCATGCATGCCCATATTAACATATGGTGCAAGGACAAGAATGAAACAGACATTAGCAGCCTAACAGCACCTGAGAAGAGTTTTAAGAAATACAGAATACACAAGAAACTAAAAAACAAAAAAAAAAAAAAATTAAAAATTAACATCTTGGAAAGTAACACAATAATGGAGAATGATGGAATGGGGAATGCTTTAAGAATGAATGAAGAGGAGGAAGAGCAAGCTCAAGATTGGACCAACTGGTTAGAAGAGACATCCTGCAAAAGGAAAGAAGGAAAATGAGGAGCTCTGGGAGATACAGACTGATGCAGGGGCTTGATTGCTAAATAATCCATATAAATGTGGAACTGAGGAGGATGGGGGAAGTAACATCTGAGTCTTTTAATGAAGATGTCAATTATGTCACTGCATAGTTTCCCACAGTTTTAAACATATATTACAGCTCTAAATCACCACAACTGTAAGTCTAACTTCAAAACACTTACAGAATTTGCTCTTGACTCAACATCATCATGTATTTCTATCATGTCATCTTCATCAGGTGGTTCCTGCTTCACCTCTATGCTCTGCAGAAAAAAAAAAGTTTCAGTTAATATATTTAAAAATACTATTAATATTCAAAATTTTAAATTTACTGGATGATACTCAGACTATAAGAATTCACCACATACTAACATTATAGTAATCCCTCGTTTAACATTTAAACGACGGACTTCGAAATAGTGGTAAGCTTGAGCTGGCCGGAGTTTATTTAAATGCCTGCTGCTGGTGCGCGTTTAAATGCTCATTGCTACTCTGCGTTTAAATGTCCGTTCCTATTAGGCGCTTAATCAATTTTAAGCATTGTGTTTAAAAATGCTGTATCTTCCTCAATTTTTATGATAAATGGATGGTATTAACTTTGTTTATATCAGCAAAGAACATAGTGTCGCATATTATAACAGAAGATTTGAAATTTTTATTACAAAGTGTTATACTCTATTTTCAATTTTTTGTTTTAATTTTGATGTGTACTGCAAAAATGGTTTCCCAGTTCTTCACAGAGTTGTTCTGCATTATAAATTCATTTCTGTTTGTAACACTTGGCGAATTTTAGCAATCCCTGGTGTCATAAAACAGATGGAAGCAATAAAATCATTTGGTCTTCTGCTAGCCCTGCTTACACTCTTCAGATTTTTTAATCTTTTGACTGAAGGACAGAAGAATGAAAGCATGGCTATTCAAGAGAAAGCTAGAGGGGTCCCTTCTTCAGTGCTAAGACCTTCCGTTAGAGCTGCAAAAGTTTACTGCCCCTTCTATTTGAATGAGCAGACAGCTGCATCGCGGCTAAGATACAGAGTGTGATCTGTTTTCTGTGTGTTCATAGTGAAATCGAATACTGTAGTATAATTTCAGCCTATATATGCATCAAGCAGGTAACAACAAAAAAGGTATGTACATCGAATTTTACAATATATTTTTAACATACCTATCTGCAGAATCTGCAATAAAATTACTGGATCGTGGATAAGTTTTGGCATAACTCATACGTATATTTTTATTTGCTGTTGTTCATTTAGGTATCAATTTAATTCCTCTATTAGGGTTTTACTCAAGTCTGTCTGGTAATTACTACATTTAAAAATAAATAGTTAGGACTGTGCATGTGCTTCCACTAGCGGAGTTTAAATTCCTGACTGGCACAAACAGGGCACTTCAGCACTTAAAGGTTAACACAGGTCTCATTAACATAATTTTGATTACACAAGACATATTTAGACACTCATCTGGTACAACTGGGGTTGAGTTCTGATTATCCATGGGTTAGGATGTGTGTATGTGCAGATCTGAAACACAGACTTGTGCAAATTTAAGGTCACAGCGTATCTACATCTGCCACCCAGCCTCACAGCAATGCCATTACTCTCGCTGTGAGAAAATCAAGTGTACTGCACCCTTCAAAAACTTGTAACAGCTATCCTTCTTTTTACATTGTTCTTTACTATTTTCCATAAAATATGGCCTTAGAGTGTAAATTTGGTGATACTACTGCAAGAAAAGCCAAATGGTAAAGAATCAAGGACAGAAAACTACATGCTTTATAAATCAGAGTAGGACAGCTTAAACCACAACCCACAAAGCATATGAAGCACCACAGTACCTCTTTATGCACTCCCAAATCTTAACAGTAACTCACAACTAGGTTCATTCCTAGGATACGGCAATCAGGGCAAATGCTCCACGTAACACAATCTGGCATAATGGTACTTGCTTAATTTATGGTTTCATCAAACTGATTCTATTGATCAGTATGTTCATTAACTGGTATTAGTCTGGTGTCCACACAATCACAAAAACTGCTGGCAAAGACCTTTCAATGTTTTAGTGACAGAGTGGTTAGTTACCTCAAAGGAGCATGTGGCTATTCGTAACAAATGACAAATACCATTAATTATTCTACCTGTGCCACCTAGTTTGGGGAGGTGTATTAGCTTATCAATTCTCCAAAAGAACTGCAGTTAGCCCAAATCTTCAGCTTCCAGCAGAACAGGTGCAAGCTCAGCATCACTTCAAAATTGGAGTTGTAATGTATCATTCAAGCTCCAGTCAGACCATATCGATGAGACATTTATGTCGTGCTGATTCTGATCTGGGGTGTTACATCGCATGGACATGTGCAATGTCACCCACATCATGCAGCACAACAGGAAAGATTATATTTTAGAAAGTGTGTAAAACCATGAAGGAATCTGAGCTGCCCTGGACAAAACTAAAAAAGGTGATAAGAAATGGGCTGAAAACAGGTCTCATGGGTAGATTTAAGCAAGAAATGGATAAAATAAATCCTGAATTTTCATGGAACTTACTGCATCACCCACCAACAGCCATGCCGTGGAAAACCTCTAAAGTTTGAACATTATGAAATCAGATGTCAGTTTCATTCAATCATCGCCAGTTTCAGTCTCTTTCATCAGACAGACAGACACTGACACTGAACACAAAGACTGAATCATGGGGCAATGTAGAAACATATTTTATCTTTGAGATTAAGAATAAAAATATTTATGAATGTGAGATCAACCACCATTTAAATGACCTAAGTATCAACCTTCAAATTAAACAAAAACTCATGTCTGATATGTCCGAGACTGTCATAGCTTTTGAAATGAAGCTGACACTATTTTGGAAAGAGTTGGAAAAATGTTAACCCATGTCATTTTTCTTCCTGTGATTTACTTCACAAGGATGGATCAGTAAGTGTGCCCTTTCCAAGCATGTCTGTTCTGTATAAATGACTGACTCCTGGTGAGAACTTCTAAATAAAATTCAATGCCTCTCACAGCCATGCAATAAATATATATGTATCTTTGAAGATTCACCCTCCATTGAAGTGAGGGATTCTCCACATGTACATATTTCACATTTTTAAGGCAAGTTTAGGCCATTTTTTAAGTTCTGTGCTGGTTACAGCAGAGACATCTGAATGCTTCAGCCCTTGTAACATATTACATCTCTTAATGTGGCCCTCGTGCCTAAAAGGTTGTTCACCCCTGAACTAGAATATGGTGAAAATGTAGCACCTGTTTTGTGTGTTATGTTTAAAGAGACCTATTTCCCAGAAGGCAAGTATGATTCTGGTGTCCATGGTATAATTCATGAATGCCACCCCTCTCCACCAGGGTGAAACAAGAGATTACTGCATTCAACAAAACTGAAAAACATGTCATACCAGGAGAGGATCACAAGCTATGTCTAAACACAAATTCTGAACTAAAATCTACTGCCATTGGAACAATGCAATAGAAACACAAATTTCCATGGCCAGGCATGTTATGCAAGTATGCTCTGTACCTACTGTCATTTTAAAGACATAAGATTAATAAACACATCCTCTATATACTTTTTAATCTTTCATCCCTTTGGCTACATTTCTCATTACATTTATGGACTTTAACAGCACAGTCTCATACCTTACAAAATCCAATACAGGAACCCTCAATAAAACCACATAATACAGCATTCATTTATTTATTCTTTTCAACTGTCACCATAGTACTGATTTCACCAATTTTTATGGCTGATGCATATAACAACCTTTAAATATCACTTCATGTACATGCAAATTAGAAAGTCTACATGAAACAGAACATCTAAAACAAACTGTGATTAATGTTTTCATGGCAAACATAAATGAAACACATACAAATTTTTAAGCCATATTTATTTAATCATTTTTTTCTGATAAGGTACCCCCACATATCCCCATCTCCATTTGGTCTGGAAGTGATGTCTCATACAGGTATGGGTATGCAATAAATACATGATGTCCATTAAACTACTCGTACATGGCTATGAGCTATTTGTTGTTACACACCACAATCTGTGTAATGAACATGGAATTTCATGCTTCTTCTATTGCTTGCAATAAGAAACAAAGGTTTGTTTTGACAGGGTTCACTTTTCCACTATACTACCTCATTTTAATACATGTTTTATTAAAAATTCTGTATCTTCTTTTTCCCCAAAATGTAGCAAATGAATGTTTCATTAAAGTGATGGGGTATAACCTAAAACTATGTATCCTAATATAAAGTGCCTAATGCATATACAAAAGAAAGAGTCAACCTGAATCACCCTTCNAAGAAAGAAAGAAAGAAAGAAAGAAAGAAAAAAACTACAACTTTCCAGTTCCTTCAGAGCAGAATATGTGCTGGAACTGCTACTTTTGGATTCAGCAATATTTTATTCTTCTAGTTCCTGACAAAATTCCTGTTGTTGCATCCCACACTATTACATATGGGAAATTATATACAAAATAGGTGAATAATGACCTCAAGTGCTTGGGTAACCAGCTGTCATCCTTACATAATCCATTCTGGAAGATGTGTAAGCCCCATGCATCTTTAAACAGATTGTAACACCCTTTTCATACATTCCATCAAGAAGTGGATTATGTAATGGCTAGATCACAAACCAAAATGGATCCTTAAATATACTTTTATTTTATTTCTGGAACCAGTCAGAACCCTGCTTCTACATTTTCAATTTTCAAACCCAAAATGCAGAAAATACATGCTCCAATTGAAAGTGTTTTTTTCTTCTCAGCTATTTTATAATGCTGTCAATATCTAGACTAAACAGCATCACATGGTAGGCTAACTGATGAACTGGAAAGGAATTTAGTAATCAGTATACAACAAAGAACTCACTGCATTCTTCTAAGATGTTTGGGTGTCACAGCTCAGAAGACCACATTATAAGTTTTCACTGCAATGTAAACTTCAAAACTCAGACACTTTCATCAGGCCAATTAAAAAAAATCATTTTGTAAACAACAGGAGTTCATACCAACTTATAAGATCTAGTCTGGCAGAATATAAATACCAGACATGTTAAAATGGATACATATAATGAATCATAGGGAATAAACAGGTGACTACTGCCTCATGTTTGTTAAATGGATTATGCTGCAAGAAAATTTGTATAGCTGGTCACAAGATGAAAATGTTCAACACAAATTGTGCCTCATGACATCATACATGATCTAGTTAACACAAGACAGTTGCCTCATAACATCACAAGTAACCACACCTTAACCATGCTATAAAACTGGCACCTGCAGACTAACAACTTGAGTTTGTACACATTGCTCAGGACTACCTACACTTCACCTAGGAACTAACAGATTAAACACAATTTGGATATAAGCACATATCCATGTACAGGGGATGGACAAAAATATGGAAAAACCTCGTGAAATGCATGCCTGAATTGAAGTGTTTATTTTAGCGACGTTTGTAGGTCACACTGTCGAATCTGCCCAAGACCACTACCTGTACAACCTCCGCAATACGTTGCAAGCTTCATTTGTTGTCGAGACAGTGTTCTGTGCAATTTTTTGTGCATCACGTCAGAGCTAACAGAATTCGAACGCAGGCAAATTGTTGGGGCCCACATGGTGGGTGCTTCCGTAACCAAGGTAGCCGAGGCTTTTGGTGTTTTGCGAGGCACAGTATCCAAGATTATGACCACACACAGGAGGACTGAAAAAACTGCATTCGATAAACACCAGTGTGGATGGAAATGCGTGTTGAGTGATCGAGACAGACAAACATTGCGTAGGATTAAGACGAAAAATAAGAAGACTACAGCTGCAAAAGTGACTGCTGAACTGAATGTCACGCTCAAAAACCCTGTCAGCATCAAAACCGTATGAAGGGAACTCCACAAGCAGGGTATTTCTGGACAAGCTGCAATTCCAAAGCCACTCATCAGTGATCAAAATGCCACTAAGAAGAGAGTGTGGTGCCGAAGTCACAAAATCTGGACTATGGAGCAATGGAAGATGGTCATTTGGTCAGATGAGTCCACCATCACACTGTTTCTAACTTCTGGCCGAGTTTACGACTGGAGAACGCCACCACAAGCTTATGATCCAGATTGTTTGCTGCCAAGGGTGAAACATGGCTGGGGTTTGATCATGGTATGGGCAGACATATCGTGGTATTCTGTCAGACCCATCATTACCCTGTAAGGTCACATCACTGCCAAAGACTATGTAACCATTTTGGGTGACCAGGTCCATCCCATGGTGCAAACTTTGTTCCCCAATGGTGATGCCATTTACCAAGACGACAACGCCCGTTTTCACACAGCTCACATCATCCAGGACTGTTTTTTTGAGCACGAAGATGAAGTGTCATGTCTGCCATGGCCCCCACAATTGCCAGATATCAATATTATTGAGCCTTTGTGGTCTGTTTTGGAGAGCAATCTGCGTGCGCGCTATCCACCTCCATCATCAATAAGAGAACTTACCATGTTTTTCAGGAAGAATGGTACAAGATTCCCTTGCAAATCATACAGGACCTCTATTTATCCATTCCAAGGAGTATGCAAGCAGTTCTGCAAGCCAGAGATTGTCCTACACCATATTAGTCATGGTAATGTGTCTTTTGTTGGGTGTTTCCATATTCTGTCCATCCCTTGTACATAAATCTCATACAACAACTGACAACAAGTATGTACAAATACCATATACCTAGCCCACAAGACCACTTTGCCAAGATGCCAGTACAACCACATACCTCCATAAACTGGAGATATACATGTGCTGTTGCAACAGAAACCAGGAAGACCACTATATACAGTAAAAAGTAAAGTAAAGCTATCCCTGTAACAGGCCGTGAACAGCCACAGGGTTGAGAAACATCGAGACTCCCACATTTTCTAGACAATCGGCTCACAGATGGCGATGAGGTTGTCAGTCTTACGTGCCAGCCACCCTTTACCCCCCCCCCCAGAAGATTCCTGGTACTCATTTCTGTTAAGAGGATTAGTCAACCCCAGGGCCATAGTGTGGCTGGAAGGATTAGGTCAATTGAAAAAATCCACCTCATCAGGACTCAAAACCATACTCTTCCGGCCTGTAGTATAGTGCCTCAACCAACTATGCTACTTGGATGGGGGGGGGGACTATAGACAGTATGTCATCCAAAACACCCTCCATCACCCTTCCACACAGACCCTCCAACCAACAAGAAAGTTCTGATTAAAACACATAGAAACACTCAACCCATTATGCCAATATTATATACACATAACCTCATCCCCAATTTAAAATATTTTAGTGTTTTAATACCAAAATATAACACATATCTTGATGTAAAAAATTAATCCAGTTTACTGAAATTCACTCTAACATTAACCTGCAATTCAATGACTCTGTAATTATTTACTTATTCTAAACCACCTGATGATGATCCATTAAAACTGAAACATGCAGTGGTATAAAATGTAACCACAATAAATTAAACCCGACACCGTGTTTTATATTATTGTCAGGTCACTGCTGTGTAGATGACTCCTATACACTGTGATTATGTAACTCAGTAGGTTGCAAAGAATAAAGTTAATCTCTAAATTTTTAACACTACATGGAGATAATTTCAACCATAGGGTAATCATGTGAGAGGAGTCTGGGTGAAGTGGGAACCAGAGAATACCCATATCCCTAAACATGACTGTCCAGTCTATTACTTCCTCATTTTACTGGTTATCACATTTGATATATAGATAAAAGACTGAAAGAAGTTCAGAAACATGTCAGGCTTTTAATCAATTCTTCAGTGAATGAAACTGATCCAGCAGATGATCAGCCCCTAGGAGTGTTAAAAAAAGACAACTCAACATGCATGTAATTCCAATAAGAACACCTTTTAGAAATAGACCCTGAAGTAATGAAACGCAGTGAAATATTTGAGAGATAACCTACTGAAACAGAGACATTCTTAGTAGATTAAATAATAATTATAAAGAAAAAAAAAAGCTTACCAGACTTACAACACATAACGGCAGTCAAAAGACTGCCACTTATATCTAAAGCTCAACCAACTGTTCCTCAAACAAAACAGCTGATCTCTTCTTACTACCAGCAGTTGCCATGACCAACTTTGGAACTGCATGCACAGTTTATTAAGGTTTTGACACAGCTTCACATTCAGTACATGAAAGCAAACATTCTTTACAAAATGTTATTCTTTCTTGGAATGAATAACAATACAAGCCAGACATGAGATGCTAATAATTTGCAAACAGAAATACTTTTGCAATGGTAGCAAAAAACATAACCCCTCAACACAACAACACATATAAAATTAAACATACCTTGAACTTCAATATATGTGGTAGTTAACACAAAAGTAGAAGGGAAATCACAGTTCTAATATGTACTGCCCTGGCTCCATTTGGTACAGAAGTTTGTACAACACAGAAGCATGAGTTAGTCAGTTGTGTACTAGGCCACCTGCCTATGGGATACCAGAAGAGGGACGAAGTCCTAAAACTTGGTAACCCCATACATAAGATTCTTGCACATCCACATCTTTTGTTTAATTATCTCAAAAACCATGACTTACAGAAAAAGTGTACTGGTTATAAAATGTGTTTCATGCTTCTTTACAATGTATACACTTGAAATGTAGCCAGAAACTCATGTAGGTCTTCAAATGTGTAACAGCAACAAAATTACAATTACTTGCTTTCAATGTGCAGAAAAAATAAAGCAAATTACAGCATAAAACACAATAACTGATAAAATATTAGGTAAGCAGATACAGAAACTATCCACAGAGAAATGACAAACCCTAAAATCCAACTGCTTAAAAAAAGGAGGGGGATTTGTTTTGAACTAGCATTTTTTATATTGTAAAATTATGTCATATTCTGTTATCATACTACACTGCAAGTTGTCAAAATATGCATGAGAAAAATACCTCCAAAATTAAGAAACTGGAATACTGAAGTTAGTTAATGAGAGATGTAATTCCCATTATTTCAAAAGAACTGTACATCTGCAAGACATGGTTTTTTTTTTGTGGGGAAATAACAAAATTGAATCTCTTAAGTTTTATTCCCTAGAATGACACTAAAACTTGAAAATATCAAACATCATGAGAAATTTTTGAATGACAAGCTTAAATGAATTTGACTGATATTTTTAAATAAATACAACTGGCCGTTCCATTACGAATCCATTTTTCATGCTGCAAGGTAAACAATGACCATTCCTGGTATTATAATATCCTATACTTTGCTAACCTTTTCTGGCTCGGCCTGTTCCTGCAATTTGTTCAGCCATTCCTTGAGTGTTGCCTGGGAAGAGTCACAAACCTGCTTGAACATGTGCCATGTGTTCACTTGAGACAAACAATTCTGGCATATCAGTTTTGGGAGTAGGTCACTTATCGACACCTAAACAAAGAAACGACATGAATTTAATTTACAAATCTGGCTTCCATTGTGAACCCATGCCTCTGTAGGCTAAAAGCGGGCATATACACTGGAAGGGGGCGATAGTACAAATTACATTGCATTTTCAAACGTAACGAAATAATACTAGCCTCAATTGAGACACAGGCCAATATTCTAAAGGAAAGGGGTACACACTGATTTCCACTTTCTTCTTCGCCAAAAATTGGCAAAATGCCTCCGTCTTTTGATAAGCATAAACGACATATTTCACTCATATTATACGGCACATCATTATCTACATCTTTCATGTTCAACATATTTTGGGTTTAATCACAATCACAACTGGCTACATTGCTATTACTATGCATCAGTCAATTGATACTTGTCTCTTTTTGACGGTAGGTATGTGAAGCTGCCTGTCCTATCATGAAGTCATCGCTGAAAGATTACGTCGGCGGGAAAATAATACGAAATTTTAAGTCCATTATATTGTCTTTTATCTTCATTTCATATCTGCACACATTTCGCTAACTTAGCAGTACGCCCTGAATATTATGAACACAAAAAAATATTTTCGATAAGAGGTCAATACTTCTGGAATACTTTTCCAAACACACAACAATCAAACCCCTAAGAAAAAATCAAGTATGACTGTCCCGTAAGACTGGGGAGGGAAGTGCCTATATAATCCTTGCCGTACTGATCCGTGGCCCCTGCTTTACTGGTATTCCGTGATTGGCTATGCCACTGATTACTTGACTCTCCATGACGTGTGCTAACCACCATGGGTGGCGCACTTTACGAAAATTGTTTGCGGGGTTGTATATGAATATTTCAAAATTACACACTATAAAACCTCCTCACTACTATATCAAAAACGTTCTGGAAATTTATAAACAACAAACAAACTTTCTCCTCTTTGTACTTAAACATTTATCTTTCTTCTTGACATGTAAACTTCATCCCTTCTTGTACTTACAAATATATATCTGTTGTGCTAGACATGAAACATTGTGATACTCCCACCTTTCCTAAATCACATCTGAAATTAAAAAATAATCTCTCTCCTCTCAATCCACTCATTCATTCTCCCTGCTTAGTACCCCCATATAAATCATTAACAAGAATGAAAGTGATAAAATGGCCCTTTACCTACCTGGATCCTTCATTTCTTCTTTGCCTTTATAAATCAAATACAACAAATTCATCTTCCACGCTGTAGGAAATTCTTCTGCCTCGTATATCTTATTACTTGCCTTAGTTATCATTTTACCAATGCTTTCCTTCTTAAATATCTACTTCCAAATTCATACTGTACAACCAATTCATTCCACTTTTACCTTTTTTTCAAAAATGTGTAAATTTCTTCAATCTAATTCTTCTGCTCATTCTCTGCCTAAATGTTTAATTTCCTTCATAAACCCTGACTCCATTCTTCCCCAACGCTAGGTTGTAATGCCATGTAATCTGGAATCAGCCCAACTTTTGGATGAACATATCACCTTTTCTTTCAGAGTTCAAGGCTAAGCTAAGCAAGACAACAGCAGAAGCAGGTGGCACACTGAACCTGCCACCTACTGTTGATGGTTTCTTGTTCACACTACTCTTCAACCCTTAATATGGAAGCGATGTGTTCCTCCAAATTGTTTAGCTGTTTTCAAACTGCATGACATTTCCCACAGTGGTGCCCCAGTTTTAGGCCCATGTCAAGTCATATGGGATTTGTGGTGGACAAAGTGGCATTTGGGTAGGTTTTCTCAGAGTACTTTGGTTTCCCCTGTCAATTTGCACTCCACCAAATGCTCCACAATCATCATCATCTATCATTTGGGGCTAGTACAATAGGCCAAACAGCAGAAACAGTACCAAGTGAAATCAGTCTCACCCCATGAGAAATATAATGAAGAAAAATATAAAAAACTTCATGGAATTACAGCGACAAGGCGACCCTTAAGAAGATATTGTGGACAACACAGTCCATCCTTAGGTGGAAGCATGATCATAAAATACTATAATTATAAATATTCAGAAATTAAAATTAATGATTGAAGACATGATTCAGGAATGCAGGACAGAATAAATTTGGGATAATACACAATTTGAAAGATGAATGGTTCATTATGGGATAGAAGTATTGCAGAGAAAAATAAACAAAGTATATATTATGACAATAATTGTTGTATTACATAGTTTGGAGGTATGACATTTTAAGGAGATAACATGTAAAGAAAATACTGGTTGGAGAAATAAATTTTTTCAGTTAACTTGCAAGAGTATCAAGCTCAGACATAATTCAGAATCACACAATTATGGAAAAAATCAAGCTTGCAAAATTTGATTCTGGATGATATAAAAAATAATTATTGATAGCCACAAGATAGACGTCCGAACTAGTGCTTAAGTGGGCTCCACCAGAAAGCAAAAAGGGTGGAACACTGAGTCTGATGAAAGGAATCAACGATTCAATGGCACAGGAAGGACGGTAGATTTATTTCCACACACTTCACTTTTACATCTAAATACACATTTACATACATTTACAAATATACATTTTACAATTGAAAAAATACCACCTCATGCATTATTAAACTACAAAGAATTAATGTTACATTTGGGGCACACTGTAGCATAGTTGGTTGACACACTATGTTATAAGCCAGAAGGTTGTGGGTTTAATTCCCAATGAGGTCACTGGATTTTCAGTTGACTTATTCCTTCCAGCTGCACTATGACCCTGGTGTTGACTCAGCTTCTAACAGAAATGAGTACCAGGCACATTCTGGGGAGTAAAGAGCAGCCAGCACATAAGGCTGACAAGCCTCACCACCATCTGTGAGCCGACTGTCCAGAAAATGTGGGAGCCTCAATGTTTCACAATCCTATGGGCCTCCACTGTCAGTTACAGGGGCAGCTTTACCTTTTTTTAATATTATATTTAGGCATCACATTGCATCAGTTGATAATTTAATGTCTATTCTCACTTTTACTAATCCAATTTTTGTAGTGTTTTGATCATTGCATGGCTATTGCCACACTTCATTCATTGTCTTACTGTTCATGCCTTATTAGGCAATTCTCCGGTATGTCTCATGTGTATGCGCTGTTTCACTGCATCAATTCCCTGATGCAGGAAGTACAAATTAAAATTAACTGAAAGCTAAAATTGTTTGAAGTACTTAAAAATGCTTAACTGACACGGATAATAGCTCCAGTTTTCCACTTATTTTGACTTTTTAAAGAAGCAATCATCACTCAGCAACCCCACACACTATAACAATGACACAACTGCTTAATATACATACAAATAAGGCAGTTCTGTCCACTGGAAGAACATTAACACACAAGGAACATCAACAGAACTATACCATATACCTACAAACAGGTATTCACAAGAATTATAAAGAACCTAGGAAGAGTAAACTTCCTAAGGGAACCTCCACCAAGCAACAACGGAAAATGAAGACCAGACTATTCCAACTGTTGTGAATGGTGTAATTTGTATAAATAACAAGCAAATGCCTGATGTGGAGAATAGCATAAATACTCTAAGTCGGTCCATTAATATAAGGAACAGTGATAACTATGCCCTAGCAAATAAACATAGAGTAATTTTTATTGATGACAGTCACTTTGGAGGTTACGGATGCAATTTGACTCCCCTACTTAGTAAAAATTATGAGATATACAGTGTAGTTAAACCTGGATCTAGTTCCTGTAAACTGAAGAACTCAGCCAAAGAGGAGATTAGTAAATTATCTTTTGAAGACTTAATAGTAATTTGTAGTGGGACAAATGACTATGAATTGAACGAGTTCTCATTAGTTTTGAGAAATATCTCTAATTTCATACAATCTACTAAACACACAAATATAGCTGTGATGAACGTACCATTTAGATACAATTTGCCTAATACAGCTTTTGTGAATAGCAGCATATCTGTTTTAAACAAGAGAATTAAGAAATTAATAAAAGCTTTTCCCCATGCTAATGTGATAGAAATTGACAATAATAGAAAGTTATTTACTAATCATGGGTTGCATTGAAATAAATTAGGGAAACGGCTGGCTACTACTTGATAGCCTCCTTCATAGAGTCTTTTGTGAAGAAAAAGTTCAGGTTTCAATAAGTCTCAGTTGGCACAATGAATTGCATGATAAGAATACCCCGTTATGTGAAGAAAACCTAGTAAAAGCTCCTACTAGGGGCTCCAATCGCAACAAAAAAATTCCAGTAACAAGGTCCCAAGATTTTTTATGGTAACTTAAGTGCTAATCAATCAGCTATGGTGAACACTACCAAAAAGAACAGTGTCAAGCAATTCGACGGCATTGTTCATAATAAGAATAATCACCACTCCAATAAAATACTGCATGATCATAAAAGACCCAAATTAACAATTCTCCATCAAAATATACGAGGAATTATTAACAGCTGATGAATTTTTAACTTCTTTATCTGCTAATGAGCCACAAATCATCTGCTTATCTGAACATCACCTGAGAATTGATGAAATAGGTAAATTAAACTTCAGCCAGTATATTGTAGGTACTTCCTTTTGCAGACAAACATACTGTAACATCAATAGCAGACAATAATAATAATAATTAAACTAGTTAAAAAGAACTAGATACAGTAGTGAACATAAGCAAAATGAGACTGGAAAACAAGTGAAAGTGTAACCAGTGACATGAATTGAACCTCGATTCACGAACTTTTAACTTTTAACAAATAAAATAGAATAATGATAATTTTAACCTGTGTTTTATAAAAAGAACTCGATATATTAGTGAGCATAATTCTGGAAAAGATACAAGGTCGAATGAGTGAAAAGTGAATGTGACCGCATGTAATTATACAGCCGTGTTCATACACCTGAAGATGACCTCTTAAGGTCGAAACATGTAGTGATAATGTGATAATAAAAAACGTGTTATGTAGTCGGTAAATTCACTCTACTATTGATTAAACACACAACAGGATGCAAGAAACGATTAAAAAAATATATTGTAACGTGTCTGGAGTAGATACTTCCATGGTAATGCAATAACAGTGGGCCATTGCATAGCAATTGCAGAATCAATGAAGCAGCGTTTTCTTAGAGATGAACAACAGAAGGCCCGTTGAGTAACAACGGATGAGACGAAACATGTTACCAGTGTATAAACAGCGTTCCTGAAGCAACAGATTGCCAAACACATGAGATCGAACCTTGGCGAGGGGTGTCTTCTACTGAGTCCGCAGAACACCTACATAAGCCGAGAGCCACAGAGAGCAACAACACAGTTGGAACCTAGTCGCCATACTATACAGTTGAAAGATAGCCGCCGCAGAATACAGTTGAAGTAATAACAATTGTAAAGAGTGTAAGAGTGAGTATCCAATAAAGATTTGCCAAATTCGAGACCCACCTGAATTTGTCGCGTGACACACCCAACATGTGACAACATAGTCATGGAGGAGCGTGTGTTATGGTTCATAAGAATATTCAGTTTTCTACTATTAATCGTGACCAATTTAATAAAGAGAAGGACCTTGAAATTTCTGCTTTAAAGTTACCTTTTACATCAAACCACTATATTATCATCTGTATGTACAGATCCCCTACTGGCAATTTTTCTTACTTCTTAAACCAACTGGAATTAATTCTTAACAAAGTGCATAAAATATCAAATTAATTACAAATATAAATCACTCAGTCCAATGTGATTTATGTTTGTAATTGTTAGTGTGACGGACCAGAATGAAACAAATCAAAATCAAATGAATTAATTTTATGTGGTGACTTTAACATAAACTATTTTAATGATAATAGTAGGAAAGATCTTTTAAACTCTCTCTTAGCTTCTTTTAATCTTTTTAGTACAATTAATTTTCCTACGAGAATTTTTAATAATTCCTGCACCTTAGTAGATAATATATATATTAATACCAATTTGCACGAATTTTCTGTACATCCTCTTATTAATGGTCTGTCTGACCATGATGCTCAGGTCATCACCTTAAATAATATTACTATTCCTATCCCTAAACAGGTATATTACTTTAGGAGAGATATCAATAACTACTCAATAGGTCAATTTACATTTTTTGTTAAGCTATGAAAATTGGGAAGATTTTTTTCTGAAACTACTGTGAATATGGCTTTTAATAATTTTTTGAACACATTTCTTAGAATTTGCTATGCATGCTTTCCTGTGGTAAAATCCCTATATTCGTATAAACTAAAACCATGGCTAACTTCCGATATTAGAACATCATGTGCTAATAAAAGGAAACTTTATCTAGCTTACAGAAACAGCAATGATCCTAATATCAAAGAACACTTTAAGAAATACTGTCGAATCTTAGCCAGGGTTATTATGACTGCAAAAAAATACTATTATAATAAACTTTTATTAAAATGTAACAATAAGACTAGAACTACTTGGAATATAGTAAAAACCATTATTAATAATAAAGGGCCTAATGAGAATGTAACTACAATGAACTTAAAAAAACAATTATCTGGTAACTCCATAGCTATAGCAAATGTGTTTAACGATTACTTCTCATCTGTAGCCAAAAAATTACTTAAAACTCCTCGGGGAAAGCCTCTGTTAATAATAAAGACTCTTTATCTTATTTACATCAGAATTTTTATCATTCGTTTCCATCTATGAAACTTAGTAATACGAATACCCATGAAATTGAAAAAATAATATTTTCACTAAAACCTAAGAACTCTCATGGATATGATGAGATATCACTAAGAATTCTGAAATTTAGTGCTCCATATGTCTTATCACCCTTAACATACATATTTAACAAGATCCTACAAACAGGTACATTTCCTGATAGATTGAAATTCTCAGAAGTTAAGCCGTTATACAAGGGTGATAAATCAGAATTTACGAATTACAGGCCTATCTCGCTCCTCCCAACTTTTTCCAAAATTATCAAAAAAATCATTTATAAAAGATTATACTTCCATATAAATAAGCACAATATATTGGTCACCAAACAATTTGGATTTAAGGAAAAATCATCTACTGAAATGGCAACACACATTCTTTTAAATAATATATTGTCTTCTTTAGACAAAAAGAATTATGTTGGTTTATTCTGTGACCTACAAAAGGCGTCTTGACTGTGTTAACGACAAAATACTCCTGGCAAAAATGGAATTCTATGGAGTCTCGGATATGGTAAATAAGTTAATGAGATCATACTTACAAAATTGATATCAGAGGGTATCAAAGAAAGATATCGAACTTAATAAAGTGTCTTCAAAATGGGAAATAGTTAAACATGGAGTTCCACAAGGCTCTATTTTGGGGCCTTTATTGTTCCTTATTTACATAAATGATTTCTCATTATCCGTTAGGAAAATAGGTAATCCAATATTATTTGCTGATGATACAAGTATTATATCAAACACGAATCCTGAAAAATTTAAAAATAATATCAAATTAGTTCTGATGAAACAATTATGTGGTTTAATAGTAACTTTCTAACATTAAATTGTGATAAATCACACCTTATACAATTCTTTCTAAAAAAGCACAGGGAAATAGAATTGCAAATAATATCTAATAATTCAATTATTACAAATATCAATTGTACTAAATTCTTGGGAATAAATGTTGATAGTACCTTATCTCGGAAGAACCATATTACGGATTTATCATTAAGGCTTGTTATGCAATAAGGGCAATAAAGCCATTTATGTCACTAGAATCAATGAGGATGATCTATTATTCCTATGTACATTCTTTATTGTCGTATGGTATTATCTTTTGGGGTAATGCCCCTCATAATGAGTTTATCTTCAAAATTCAAAAAAGAATAATAAGAGTTATATCTGGTTTGGGTAGACTGGATTCATGCCGCGGATTGTTTAAAAAATTACAAATATTGCCACTTCAGTCTCAGTACATTTTCTCCTTACTTCTTTTTGTCGTTAAGAACAGAAATTATTTTATTGCTAATACTGTTATTCATGATATCAACAGACGTTATAATCACAATTTATATTTACCTTCTACAAATCCATCAATAGTTCAAAAAGGAGTGCTTTTCTCAGGTAGCAAGATTTATAACCACTTACCCTCAAACATTAAATTGCTATCCAAAGATATTAAAGAATTCAAATTTTTATTAAAAAGCTATCTCACTGAACATGCTTTTTATAGTATTGATGAATACTATAAATCAACTTCTCAATGAACACTTTGTCTTGATTGTCTCTCCTACGGATAATATAATTACACAGCTTATGTATCTACTACAACTGTATCAGTGTTTGTATTATTGTATAGGACTGCACTAATTTATAGTGGTTCTTAGTGTTTTCATTTGTCCTTGTACAGGTTAGGAATGTATATTTTATTATCTTACGTTCAGACATGGTTATGAATGTATATTTTATTATTTTATGTTTAAACATGACAGATTCTATATCCAGTAGGTTGGTTTGACCTTATATGGATTGACAGAATGCAATAAATAAAGTAAAGTAAAGTAAAGTAAAGGAAAAAATGTGCACTGCAGTACTCACCTTCAAAAAGTGAAAATTTGTGGAAAACTTGAGTTACTACCCATGTAAATTTAAAAGCATTTAACTATTTTAACCAATTTAACTTCCAACTTAATTTTACATTAATTCTAATTGGTGCTTCCTTCAATAAGGAAATGATGCAGTAAAGCAGCTTACACATAAGATAGGTGCTTGAGAAAGGCCTTATAAAGCTGAAACATATTGTACAAACAGTAGGATTGTGAACGAAATGTAACAGTGCAGTAACTATCAAAATCCTATAACTGCTGCATTAGTTCATGTGAGAATAAACATTAAGTAGTAAGAATTAATTTGAAATGGAAACTTAAGACTTTTTTCAGACTGCCCTTCAATTAAGGAAAGCAGAAAGTTACTAATGGCTTACAATATAATATTTTCTGAGGTTATGAATTAACACTAAAATAGCAATAAACATGCCATACATATAGCATATAATACTTAAACTCAAATTGTTACATTGTAGGATTAAACAATTAATGGTATAAGATCATTCATCTTATCTGATGACTAGACAATCAAATCGTTACAGAGACCTATTAATTATGAGGACCTATATATTCCAAATGCTCGCCTTCATTAGGCCTAAGGCGCCCCATACACACACAGTTTGGCCTTCCGATCGACCTTACAGGCTAAACTTTCAGTTTGCCCTCTCCCGTTCCTTCCCCATACACGCATAGATAAACCGGCAGGCTTCATGCCACGGTCACGGTCTTCCAGCCTCTATTGCTGAATCACACACATCACGTGCTATGGTCCTGCAGGTAGAACTGACGGGCTGACGGGTTTCCTACAGGCCAACATTCCAAACGATTGGCCGACTGGCCGCACCACACACATCAGTTTTGCCCTTTAGCCTTCAACTGTGCAGGCTGAACGGGAGGCCAAACTGTGTGTGTATGGGGGCCATAAGTAGACATCACACTTGCAGGAGAGCTAATACTACTAAACAGCATAAATAAGATGGCATTACTGAATACAGTAGTGACACTATTTCAACCCTTAAACAACAACAGTGAATCCTTAATTAACGGCATTCAATATATCTGTGTGACCATTTTGTCTGAAATGCAGAACCTTCAACTCCTTACAGCCAGAAACAAGACATTCTCGGATCTGATATGTAATGTTTGGACAATACACCAGCTCTAGATATCGCACACGAATGCAATTCTTCGAAATAATATGAGCAGCAACGTCATTCATACTGAGCAACCGAGATAAAATCAGACACTCCAGTTTTGATGCCATACGACTTTGCAAGAAATTACTTATGCCTTCTGTACTTAGGTTTTTTGCCAATCTCAGTTTAATTGACTTGAGTGAATTTAATTTTGTGATGCTCCTTAACCCCTTATCTGTCATCTGAATGCATGATGATAAATGTAAAGTATGTAGCATCTTACAATTTTCCATGTAACAATATGCGACATCCGTAAGGCATTCACCATATAATATTAATGACAGCAGACCATTCTTTGATTCTAATAAATACATGACACTGTCATCTGAAAGCCCTCTAACATAATCAAGATTGATGTGCTGCAAAAAACAACATGCATCAGCAATCGCTTTAAGTAATGGGCCATCCAAACATCTGCTATGTGACACATTTAATTTTCTCAGCTGTGAAAACTTGCAAATTAAGTTAAAACAATTCGGTTCAATGGCCCAACATTTTCCTAAGCTAAAAACTTCAAGATTTGGAAAATGGTCAGTCAAAAGCTGCATGCAAGAATCCTTCATCTTCCCACAACATACCAATTCCAACTGACGAATTTCTTCACAACTGTGGCAAAGTAGCTTGAATATTAAATCTACATCAGTTCGCCACTGAAGCTTAACAGATTTTATGAGAGGCATTTTCGGTAACACAAATTCAAGGTAATCTATGCTCATATTGTTGCTGCAAATTAAGTTTAAATTGTTCCATAACGTTACATCGCGACTTATATAATTCCATCGTTCACAAACTTCGGCTACTATTAAACATACGTCTTCACTGTCCAGATATGTAAAAATTTTTAACAGGATCTCATTCGGTAAAGAATCAAACGTCACTTTCGTCGTTACTTCAGTCATCTTCTCAAAATTCAGAATATCAAATTAACTCCCTTAAAACGGCCGCTCGGGATATGACTTCCTGCAATAATGACAACCTTTTTGAGGTTATCTTCTACTAAAATAAACACACACAAACCACAAGTAAACATGATGTACTAATAGTACTAATATTCTATATACCGCAATCCTCAAATCAACAGGCAAACGTATCTACTTACAACTTTATGACAAATTATTAAACAGGCTCAGATTTAAATTCTACAATAGATTCAGCCTGCAATTTTTTTCCCCGCAGCCTTTTCATAACGATACTCATGCGGCCACAATTGCGAATTCACGAACTTCATGAATTTATGAGGGCGTGAAGGCGTAACAACGTTCCATCGCCAGTTCTCCCCTGCACATATTCGCACATCTTTCAAATAACGAGCACAACGACCGATAACGAGTATGTGCACATTTTACATTAGCGTCACGGAACATTGCCGCAGACGAACGCAAAGCAAAGTGCAAAGAATTGTTTCGACCTGACATCCTTGTCGCTGCGGGAAGGAGTGAACGTACTTTACATAATTAACGCTTGGATCGCTGGTATGAACTAATTGTTATCACCGACTTATTTGTTTATAGACAGCGAACTGAAACAACAAAGGTTTGTTAGAGCACAACCACGAATTATTACACAATAGGCGCAGGACAAATGGGGGGGGGGGGAACTAGGCATCTGCTACCTTCCGGTTTTTAAAGAAAAATGAAAACTGAAGAAAAGGAGATGTACCAAATATTAATAATAAAATTAAAAGCATTGTGAAACACAGGAAACAGAGTCTGAAACGACTTAAATGTAAGCCTATAAGCAAATTTTCTGGCAAGCCCCTCCCATTGTAAAATGAGCTGCCTCCATCAAAATGAACCATAAAAGCTATAGTAACAAAAAGAAAGCACTTGTCAGGCAATTCCATAACAATTATGGAGAGTGTGCTTGCCTCTGGAGTTTTAATAATTTTTTTTTTTGCTAGTGGGGTGGGACTAAGTCCCTTGTATTGCGGCCACTTCTGTCCTATTCTTCCAGCCCCAGATGATAGGTGAGGATGATTGTGAAGCAATTGGTGGAATGAAGATTGGCAGGGGAAACCGAAGTACTCCGAGAAAACCTGCCCCAGCGCCACTTTGTCAACGACAAATCCCACTTGACCAGACCCGGGATCGAACCCGGGCCGCCGCGCTAGGAAACCAGGGACTAACCGCTTGAGCTATGGCGCGGCCCGAGTGTTAATAATACTATCTTATGATGCCCTTTTAAAAATACTGCAAAATATGCTGGACGGCGGACTAATAAAACTTGGGGACAATCAGTCCCGTGGCTTTAGTTGTGAAATAACAAATAAAAATCCGTCTTATACAGAGAGTTGTTTTAATTATGTAGACCGCTGTGTTGCTTGCTGTGAAGTGCATATGAATTTTGCCGGTGAATCAGCATGCCTAATGGCCGATAACGTTTGGAATGAAGGGAAGTAATTAATTTGTGAAGCGGTTGACGGCATTGTGTTTCACGGTGAGCAGTACGGTTCATGCGTGGGAGATTGTTCATGATTTGTCAGCAGTAGGCAGCAGTAATCAGCTCCATTAGTCATTTGTTGTCAATTACAGTTGGTGAGCAATGTGCTAAGTCAGGTGCGGTATGCCTTAGAGCAAATTGTATTTCAGTATGACTCCTTTATGAAATATGGGTCTGCTAGAAAATGTCGGAGAATATTTCGATGTAAAATTTAATGTTGAAAGAGTTCCCAGTAGACGAGAATTTCACAATTTGGCGAATGGAAGTTGCCACTAACTTCGCCGACAAGCAACGGCTGCTCGGTCGATATAATTTGCTTGCGGACCAAAGCTGCGGAGTTTGTTTTTCGTTTTTCTTTATTGTAATTACATTTGGAAATGACACCCGAATCCTGAATATGGGGATAAATCCAGCTGTCATAAATGGTTTCATCTAATAACACATGGAAAGTCACACAGTACTTTGAATAATCCCACATGCTAATGTAAAATAAACGCTAATTTTGACAGAATCAGGAAGGAAGGAGCAATCAGAACAAATGCAGACCACTCTAGTTACCTAACTCCATTCTGACCAAAAAACAGACAGAAAATGTGGCGCCATGTGATTTTGTAGAAAGGTATCAATATTTCAGAGAACTTGCTGCCTCCATCATCATAGCAGTTTCCTCCAAAATTTTGGTATCTATCTAACAAGGTACAGGGCAGAACAGCGTAATCTTGGTACTCCATTGTGAAAACCTCAAATTCTTGACAGAAAAAGGTTCATATGATTAGTGACTGCATAAAGTATCATGCCGAGAAACAGAAATAACATGTGTGGGATGTGACATGATGTAGTTTTATTGGTGGTAGTTTTACATTATATAAATATTTTTACAACAAAAAATAAATAAATACAAATGAAACTGACATAAACTAGTCAAATTTCTCACCATTGTGCCCAATTATAGATAAAGATTGATATCCCTTAATAATAGCCTATATGACACAGATCCACAAATTGTTGTTTTCAAAAGTTTTTATGGTAGTAATACTGTCAGTGTCCTTCACTAAGTAATATATTCATCATTAATTTTATATACTAAAACATTCTCGTCAACTGCTCTGAACAGAATTTATTAATCACATATATACTGTTTACAGTTTTTTTTTGTGTACAAAGTCTTGAGACACTGTGTAACCTCTCTGTATACATGTAAGCAACATACAGCACAGCAACAGATTTCTTTAAAATTTTCAACTGAATGACATTAATGTTACTGATTTACATATACAGAGGCCATTTGTCTTTAGTAAATTATCTTTGTGAGACGATTTACATTAGACCACAATTATGGTGAATACTGTCCACTGTCCAAATATATGCTATTCACATGAAATTCTGGGTCCTGTCTCTACACTCATCTTCAAGTGAGTGGTTGTCTTTATAAATTAAAAGACATTTGTACTGAAGTTTAATGACAGGTAACTACCAAAGACAAGAATAAAACAAACTCTAAAATCCCATGTACCATATGTTAGACATAACTCATGCAATGTACAACATCCAACAGAGTTGCGTGATCAATCACTGTCGCAGAGTATCATTATGTGTATCTTTATTGTTTCACCTCTGTAATGGTTCATGATTTCAATAGTACAAAAGCAGTGCTTCAAGACCTTTGTATTGATTACATCACTTTTTGCCACTAAAGCTGGAGAAAGATAGTTTAAATTCTGTATGGTTTCTTACAAATTTAAGTTATTGAAATGAAACAGATGCATTTTTCATATTTATTAATTAAAAACATATGGAAATTCAATGTAAATTTTTTACTGAAAATTAATATAGAAGGTACCAAATTTTCATGGTGTTTAAATACTGTACTTTAATATGAAATTCTTTGTTACATTCTGTTGCAGAACATTAATTTCTGTAATTACCTGTTTATAGCACCTGCATGAATTAAAATGAGGGAAAGGGGGGTTATTTGAACCATAGACATGAGTATTAGAAGTCACATCTCATTTTAGAATATGCATCTCATTTTTTAATGAAACAGGGTTCACATTTGTAGCATCATTTGAACTAAATGTTGTTATTTATTACAACAATTATTGCCGTCTAATATACATGCGGTTGTTTTCTTGATAACAAGCATTACATTATGAATTGTGAACTTCAGAAGCATGTTTGGAGGTTAATCTCTGATGAACTGTACACCAACTTCACACTCACATGGCTAAGTGCCCTAGAAGATATACTGAAAATTGCTTTCTTATCAGTACACTGCTGTGTGTCAACAGACCAGTGAGCATCCAAACAATGCCAAGAATGTACATCACAATTTATCTCAAAGACAAACCGAACTTGAAAAACAGTCCAAAGAAGACAGTAACTGTACTTTTATATTGTAGTCTTCTGGGTTGTGACACCATGAAGTTGAGGGCACCACTGTTTCAGTGGAATGCACTGCCTCTACCTCCACATATGTCCTAGAGATGGAAGAATTTTGTTCCTCTGATATATCATATCTACACACAAGACTACACAGGTATCACATCCAGAAGACCACATAATCCATACAACTGTGATAACCTCAAATCTTATAATTATGCAACTTCTTTATCTCTGTATTTAATTATGTACAAAAGCTGATGAATGATACAGGGCTACCTATCAAGTAAATCAACAGCAGTGTAAAGTCAGGACTGTATTATGAATTCTGTCAATACTCGTGTAAAGAAATGGCATGTAAAGACAGTCTTGTATCACTTCTTCCTCAGATGACTTAAATCATATATTCTAAAACCAGTTAGTGAGCTTCCATCTCAAATAGTGCTTCATTTATACTTAAAGTAACTTTCCCGTTTCTAAACAGATATGTACTAAAGCCAAGCATGAGAGAAAAACATTCAATTAATTATAAATCTTTATCGAGTGAGTAATTTTTAGATTAACTGACTATGAAGAGTTCTATATTCTGGAATATTACGCCATGTAGTCTGTCGAAGGTCAATCAACATTTAGGAGGGAAACATTGCCTTGGTCTTCAGGGTTGAATAGTAAGCCATTCAAGAAACCAGCAGCATGCAAAGCTTTGCATCAACCGTAAAGACCAAGGTGAACTATTCATCCAAAATGACGGTTATCTTTCAGTACATTATATTGTGTTATATCCCAGAATACAGAACTCTCCATAACCACTGCTGTGAGAATCTGAAATCCTGCATATTTACTGACTAGTTTCATACATGAATAAAGAAAAATACTTATGATATATAAATATAATTGTAGGCAAACTGCTATTAATGATTATAAACTCTAAATTATATGCAGAATTTCACCTGTAAATGGGATCAAAACACAGGTTTAATATCTGACTGCGAAAACAGAGACACCTCATTGCATGAATAAAGAGCTTTTGCCTTATTAGACTTCCTACATACACTGGACCTTTTTAAATTTCAATTTTAAACATTAGGAATGGTTAAATTTGCAATATTCTTTTGTGATGGTTGTACTACATAGCGAGAATATTTTATGTATAAGGAATTCCTTTCTGCAGACTATCAATATAGATTAATATTCAAAATATGTGCCAAGACATTGCAGATCTCCCAAAATACCACAATACAAATTGAAGAGTAGTGCAGGTGACAATTTGAAAGTCACTCTTTGTATTAAAGCTGTTAGTCCTTGAAATGAGACTTTAAAGCTTAAATAACAAAAAGTTGGAAAAAATTCACAAACCCCATGAATAACCTAATAGCCAATGTAAATCAATTAAAACGATCTGCACACAAACTTAACTTCATACTTTTTTTTAATTCACTAATGGGGTTGTGGAGTCCAGCTGGGTCCACTCAGCACAGTGGCCACTGATTGGCGTATTGTACCTGCCCCGTGTGATTATGATGATGGAGAATTTGGTGGAATGAAGATTGGCAGGGGAAACCGAAGTACTCGGAGAAAACCCACACGAGCGCCACGTTGTTCACCACAAATCCCACTTGACCAGACCTGGAATCGAACCCAGGCCGCTGTGGAGGGAAGCCAGCGAATAACTGATAACTTCATACTTTGTCCTCTATGGTTTAGGAGCACAACAGCATTTATCAATTTCTAGTATTGAATCTGAAGAATTAAAAATCAGTCAAGAAATGCTCATAAATTGTATTGCATCCAAACAATACTTCTGTGTAACTGTAATTTAAAAACATGCATACAGACATGTATTAGTTTTGTAAGACTGAGAAAGGGGAAGTAAAAATGAATGTGCAAGAACATGCACTGGATTTAATTGAATACATTTGTAACCACAGTTTAAAACTGAGTGAAAAATACCTATTCCTTCTTTGAATGTGAGATTCATAAAAGAAAGGAATATGTAGGAACAGTGACATGTTGTACCAGTGAAATGACAGTTACTGGCATCATATGAATGAGTAAATTTTAGATATCTCCAAAGAATTGCAATTACACTGTAGACCAAGAAATACAATAATAAAAAGACTATGCTGTATTGTATGTTATTAAACACGTGTACTTGAGATGGCTAGTTTCGAATTAAAATCAGTTTTGAACCTTATATTTTACTTTCTGACATTAAGCTCTTTCAGTTATAGTACATAGATATAAATATTTTATAAATCATTTCAAATACATGTCTAACATCCAGATAAACTGTAATGGGGCTAAAATAATTCAAAATAATGATTCATTATCAATACTGATTATTTTTTCATATATTAATTTTGAACAAGCATAATGCGAATGTGCTATTCCAATTTGTTAGTGAATGGCTGATATTATTATAGAAAAAATAGTTGCTGGCATACTGATAAGCAGTCAGCATTATTGTTCATGGACAATCATGAGATCCACATATCTACCGCATTAAAAATCAAAATGTATTTGCTTGCATCATACATATTTACATCTATATGTCATTACAGAGATCTTATCTTGCTCCTCATGTAAAAATTCACAGTGTGTTTGTATTACTGGGATGGTTCAAAACAGATCAGATTCCTAAATGAATTTTGACAATTAAACTTTTTTAAAATGTTCATCTAGTTACCTAAATTTATTTCCATATGCTTCCAAACTTTCATGATATTTTTACAGACTTACCGCAATTTTGCACATAATACAGGGTGAGGCGCAGAAACTTCCTTTTTTTGAAGGTGAATAAAAGAAAAATTATTGCTGATAGACAAAATTTATGTTTAGCTAATGAAAGAACATACTTTGAAGTTTTAAATCATGTAGTTTTAAACAAAATATCTTGAAGGTGGTGGCCACCATTCTCCATGCACTGATGCAACCGTTTTCTGAAGTTCCCCTCTGCACGTTCCAACATGTGCACCGGAATTTGGGCTACTTCCTGCCGAATAACGTTCTTCACCTGAAGCAGGTTTATGGGGCGATGTTTAAAAACCTCTGCCTTGAGGTATCCCCATAAAAATAAATCACAGGGCGTTAGACCAGGTGAGTGCGCTGCCCACGGGATGTCACCTCGAAGCGAGATCAGCCGTCCGGGCAACTTTGCTCTCAAAACTGTCATCAAATCTCGAGCTGTGTGGGCCATGGCACCATCCTGTTGGAACCAGACATTTCCTAGATGCATTTCTTCAAGAGTTGGTTCGAGAAAGATCTCAAAATCGACTGTCGAACTGCCTCCACATTTTCTAGCATCGTAACGGTCCGTTGTCGTCCTGATGATTTTTCCACCACACTCCCGGTTGTCCTAAAGTTCTCTACCCACAAAACAATCGATTTCCGGTTGGGAACCGGAACTCTGGGCTTAATTCTGAAGTGAGTACAGAATGCATGCTGCACCACCACGTAGGAATGGTTGTTCGAAAAATAGGCTTCGACAGCAAACACATGCTGCTCACTCGTCCACCTCATGTTTCCTACTGAGGGGTATTAGAAACTTCTGCAACTGCTGCATTCACTGAGCCTATCCCCACTTTTCTGTGGCCTCCCCTCCCTTCACAATGTATCTTCACAAAAAGGAAATTTCTGCGCCCCACTCTGAATTTGGCTATTGTGAGTTTGATATTTAATACATGTTATAGGATGTTCAGAGGATGAAATACTGCATAAAGTCTGAATTGTCTACCAACATGGGACCAATTTAAATTTAATTACTGGTGTAAGATAAACTGCAAATTTAATGTAATGGAATATGGCTTGTACTATTGCTCCATACCAGTTTTATACATCCATCTCATGCAGTGCTTTTAACAAAATCCTTATGATCATTTTTCTTTGAAAATCTGGGAAATAGCATAGAATTGTCAAGTATAACATTTAACAATTCTCTCTTTGCCTTCTGAAACAGAGACAAGTTCTTGGAGAATTATGACTTACCCCAAATAGTTCTGATGGTTTGGTCTAGTTACTATTAAATTACTGAATCTTTCCAAGAAAAATCAGATCATTTTGATAACACTCCCGTCAAAGAATTATCTGCAATTGGGCAAAACAACACAATACATGGTCACAGAAAACTTTGTTTAAAACAATACTACAAAAATTACAATTAATAATGCTTAAGTAGTTACTATAGGATTCTGACGATGGTATATAACACACAGAGATATTGGATTTTCGGACTTTATCCATCGTCCTGGTTTTAAGATAACTAAGAAAAACACATTCTTTTTTCACTTTCACTTTGTTTTTCTTAGTTATCATAAACCAGGACGATGGATAAAGTCCAAAAACCCAATATCCCTGTGTAATAATGCTTAGTTTAAAGGTATATCAGCTTCAGATTTAAGTTATTTACTGGGAATTAATTCATAGCTTTGTATATGACCTCTGACAAAAATATTCCTGAAACTCAAAGTAGAGTGTGTGGATACAACCACCTCACATCAAGCATCAAAAAGGCAAGCTGTTGAAGTCAAGTTTCAGACCCCTGGCAAAAACACTAGTTCTTTTATGTTTGATTGACATTTTAAGACACTGAAATATGCTTGCGATTGTGTTACTGCAACTCATAGTGGACTGGCACAGGCTTCTGATTTTGGATGACACATCCACAGAAACTGGTTGCAGTGGCTTGATCCCTCGTCCAAAAGAGTCTTATTTCTTTTCTTAACAGAATTTAGGAAACCTTCATTTTATTAAAGGAGGATAAAGAATGATCCAGTTTGTATTTAGTATGAGTCACAAAGAGTTGCCCTGAAAGGCAGTTCAAAAAGCTTAAAATTCAGGAATGTTAGTGGTTCAATTAAATGTATTTCTCTTAAATATTTTTTTTTTGGTATTTTAGACTGCTGTATTCATTCAACTGTTAGATAAATAGTCTTTTGCACTGTATCCTTGACAAAGAAAGAGACTTTTCTTGTACTGATGTTCATTGCCACTGTATTATTATTCATATTAATGTACTGTGTGATAAATTATATTTACTCTGTAATTTACTATATATATTTGATGGTAAAGGTGAAAGGTAAAGATCTCCCTGTGCTTAACTAATTAAGCACTATGCCATGAAGATGTATGGGGGAGTGGATGTATAGATCCACATTTTCTTGACCTAGACACTAGCTGAAGGTGAGTGGTCAGTGCTGATAATAACAACCAAGTTCATTAATTACAGGCACTTCTACTCCCAGCATTTAGAGTACCAAACACAATACTGTTTAAGTACTGGCATGAAAATACATCTTGTCTGGTGATTGTGTTACATCATGTACTGTTTATAATTGTTTCCAGCTGTCACATTTCACACTTAAGCATCAAGCTGGGATGTAGTATGCTATATGACCTAGTGTAAAATACACAAAAGATCCTCCATCATGAAAGAAATTTAAAAAACTTGTATCAAAACACATATTCAAATATAATACTTACAAATCTGAAAAAAAAAACCAAAGGAGAGAGAGAGGGTACATTTAATGGTAGAGTAATTTTTAATTTGTATATAAATGTTGTCTAGTTTCTTAGCCTGGGAAACATATAGTTTTTAATTACACTGGCTTACAGTTGAGCAAATACAGCAGCACTGTAAAGTTTATGTGAGATGCCAACACTTACTGGAAGCCCACAGTTACAGACCAAATTATGGGAACTGTTTCTCTATTACATATTTACATATATATGACCAGGGTAGGATTTTCGTGGCCATTTCTTAATTGGTCCTAAGTGATCACACCTGTTGTGTTCAGAATGTTTAAAGCAAGACATGCAAGAAGCAAGAAACATTCTATAACCCACTATTGTGAGTTTTAAAAATATATCTGTCATTTATATGTTAATAATATGTGGTTAAATTTTATATAATTATGAACTTGTAATCAAAAAAATACTGTGTTTTGTAAAAATATCAGAATTTTACCAATAAAATAATACCCTTTGGCCAAATATATTACATGTTTATTTCAAATAAAAATCCTTCCTCTTAAGGCTCTTTACCACTCCAGGTTTTTAGTTGACTGACCACTGCAGAATTTATAAACACATTTTCAATTCTGTCATTTGTATACGAAGAGTGTAAATGCGCATTTGGGACACTGTATACTTTAAAACAGTAACCAGTATCTATTTGCATGATTTGTAAGTCAGGTGACCACAAATAGCATTTATCAGGCTAAATGTTTTTTCTCAGAGAATATATTGCCAACATTTCCAACCCATTTTACAGCTTCCAACTCTCCTGGTTCATGTGTTACAAGGTGGACAGGAACCACGTTGTGACTGCTCTCTGACATAATCCTGAACATTGAATTTTGACTCATCTGGGTTTCCACTTTTTCTGAATTTCAACTCCCTACAAAAAATAAATGGCATCCATTAACACAGGCTGTAAAGAAAGAGTGAAATATACAAAACCGAAGAAGAAATGTGGCTCTAGCTATCTTATACTGAATGTGATATTCAAGATTAAAGGGTATACTCCTATGCAATATATTTGAACACTGTGCCATCTGATATTTGTTGGGCAAATCTCATTCTTGATAAACAAATTAAATAAACATTTTTGTAACAAAGAACTCTCCACTGATCCTCATATCTCTAAGCTCGACATTCATATCTGATCAATAAGTTAAAGTATTCTAAGCTAAATATTTCATGGTTTTCCATGGTCTACACAGAAAAAATCCTGGAGATATATATGAACAAATTCTCTCCTAAGCTTCTTAACTTACATTTATATCACTCTGGCGTTCCTTGCTGAATGCTATATAACATCCTCCCCTACATAGCCACTGAGAACAGAATCTCATTATAGCAGAGAAAATTGTTTTATATTTTGCTATATTTGCTAACCTCTCATGCTTTCAGAAAAGCGCATATTATGCTGGGATCAACATTTTTAATAACCTGCCATCTGATCTCAAAGGTCTTATGAATGAAAAGACATGATTTAAAATAGAACTGAAAGGATACTTAAATACACATTCATTCTACTCTGTTGATGAATACCTATTGTCTAGAAAATAACTTATGTATCATTAAATAGCCTTGTGTGTAGTCACTGCGTAGTCTTGGTTTCTCTTGCATGAGAACTCCATTGGGACTGTACATATGTTTTGTATTTATATGACATATTCCACATCCTACAGTCATTTTAACTAACTTTGGATCCATGGACTGCAACGTAATGTAATGTAGAGCATTCCTGCACCAGAATGAAGTCTGAATCTCAAACACAGTGTGTGGTATGCTCATAACTAAGGAAGAGACAGGAATAAAGCTACTGGTTCCCTGATTGTGAAGCTGGTTTCTGTTTGGATAGTTGCTTCAAGAGCTACTACACAATTCTTAATTTGTAATTAAATTTCCTGTGCCCCATATGCACATACTGCACTACAACTAAGATAAGATTGTAAATTAGTTTTATGAAGTGAAAACATCCTTCATTTATTAAAATTTAAACTTCTAGGTTTGGCAATTTAAAAATTTTGCTGCAAAAATTAAAGGGACATTTAAAAATATGTGCTACCACATGAATTGAATTGAATTGAATTGAATTGATGTAACATACTGAGGAATTTAAATACCCTTACTTGATGGGTAAGAAAGTTAATTAAATTTTCCATATTAGACTCAGTCTGAAAATATTTTGCCTTACTAGGATAATGATAATGTCATTACCTGGCAACGGCCATGAAGGTAAGTTCAACATTGAGTCCTGTCTTTGCTGATGTTTCCATGAAGGCAACATTGTACTCTCTTGCAAGCCGCTCCCCATCCTCCTTACGTACCACTCTTTCAGATCCACAGTCTGCTTTGTTACCTGTAAAACAAAATTGGCTGAATGTATACAGGAATACACATAGCAAGGCAGTGGAGAGATGATTTAACTGCCATCATTCTGTTCAAGATTAAATTGATTCCTTTATTAGATATCCAGCATTAATCGGAATCAATCTGTAGAGATTACACTGTATAAACTGTTTAGAATTCACATCTTTTAAAGTGAGAAAATATTTGTCATTATGTTTTTTTGTATGTAGGCTTCTATATTAAAGTGGAAATTTCTCGTGGTTCATGGGACTTACTTAAGATGACAGCTCAGGTGAAACTTGTGATAAAGTCAGACAGGAACAGAGTTCTTGCCAAGTAGTTCAATCTTGCCTGTGAATCATAGATCTATTAATGGTCCATACCCATCTATCACTGCACCTGACGTGTTTGACTGGCCCACACAGTCAAAAATTTCCAGCTGTGAATGCTGTGGTCTGCTAGTAAAGTGCCAGCAGGTCACTAAGTCTGGAGGAATACAACAGAGAATCTTTTCTTCTCCATTCAGTACAAACTTTAATTTCAGTTGCATCCATTGTGTAGCTCATACATAACAGCAATTTTTAGCTTTTAGATTTAGTCCTCAATTATATGACCAAAATTTGAGCTTTTAAGCATGTGTCACTATGAGAGGGAGGGAGAGAATATGGCTTAATTATAGCCAAGTCATGTGGTAGCATTTCTGCATCACCTCACTTCTGTATGATATGACAGCATCAGTCCTGGATTGAAGCTTGCTTTTTGTCAAAATGCTCCTTATCACAAAATCCATCTGATTAACATAAAATATTCAAAATATGAACTGAAAAAATAAAACATTATCACCAGTTCTTAACTATACTTCATGTTATGTAGGAATATGTCTGAAGAGTTCCAACTTCTGGGATATAATGCCAAGCAGCCCATTGAATGTCAACCAACATTTTGGAGGTACAGGTCACCTCTGTCTTCAGCGTTGAAGTGCAGACCAATAATGAAACTACCATGATGCAGGAAGCAGGCATGCTTGGCTTACTCTTTCACACTGAAGATGGAGGTGCCATATGTCTCTAAAATTTCTGTTGACTATCAATGTACTCCATGTTGTTATACTCCAAAAGACAGAACTCTTCATAACTACCTCTGTGAGAACCTAAAATCCTATGCACGAAATTGTTTGTTACGTAAACAAAGCTGGAAATATATACACAGGAGCATAATGCAGCAGTACAATTCAGACTTGTATGTAGGAATTACCAGCACTAGGTTTGATCCTCAACAATTATGACTGAGATTTCTGGTGGTTTTTCTCTGTCACTCCAGATGGATCTATAATAATACTTTCATGAACTGCCATTTTCCAAGCCCTCACTTACTCATCAATTGTGATAATCTTCCAAACTCATTTTACACTATAAAATATCTCCAAATCAGACAATATTTTTAAATAAGTTACAAATTTATTGATTTGTCTGAGCCATTTCATGAGAAAGTGTTGAATAAGTGTGTATGAATTTCCCATTGGCATGCGAACAAGTACAGGAAGTTGTTTAAAAGGGAACCTACTGATTTTCCAAAGATGATGATGCACAGGTCAAGTTAATTTGGTCCACAAAGAAAACATTCATTGGTAGCGAACAGCAGTAGAGAAGTTATGCAGAATATGCACATCTAATTACCTTGACCACCATTATAAAGCACACTGGAGAAAGAGGAAGCAACTGGCAGGCCTAATTCCTGTATACCACTTCCAAATCTAGACTGGACCTAGCAATCTGGAATTTATTTCCATGGTAAAGATACATATACTGTCCACCTCAGTCAGCACATAGGGTAATGATTTTAGTCAGTCATTTCTAACGTATTCTGAAAAGAAATCTCATATCCATGTAAATGGAGGTCCAGCCAGTAAAGTGACTGACTCTGAGGTTAAGTACGAGCATATTCAGAATTCTTTTTCTTCATTATGCCATCAACAACTTTGGGGCCTGCCTGGCCTCAAATCCAATTTGTAAGCGGGACACTGTCCCTACAGGTAAAGCAGACAGATGGTAATCACCCACCTCCACCTACGACTCAATTTAAGAATGCACTGAACTCTATTTCCACTCTTTGTAGCTCTTCACGATGTAGTGATTATTTACAGAAAAGTCTTTATATTTATTTCACAGTATTTTACATAAGAATAATTTTACGTTTGCCTTGCCATGTTTGGTAGGATCAGGAATTGAGGGAAGAGAATTAAGTCTACCTGGTTGGTCATCTATTATAGCAGTGTGATATAGAATTGTAGTTTTGTTATAAACGCTTAATAACTATTTATATAACAATAGCCATAACTTTAAACCTTACTTACCTAACAGCATGATAACCACATCATCCTGGGCATATTCTCGAATCTCGCCAAGCCATGCTCGGATATTGTCAAAACTCGTTTTGTTCGTAACATCATATAACAAGAGTAAGGCTAGAAATAAAGAAAAAAAACACATGAATTCTCCATAAAGTATTCATTACACTTGAACTTTATTTTTCATGTATATGCGATCTAAGTGCAGAGGAGTGTGTAATATCAACATGGATCCCAGATAATTAGGGAATGACAGTGTGGACTGGATCATCTTGCTGAGGGTCCGCTGGCAAGAACTTGTAAACACAGTAGAAATCCTTCAGATTCTGTTGAAGTTTGGGAATATTTTAACTAATTTGCAAATATTAGTCTTTCAACAAAGGCTCTGCTTCGTAAAATCACTTATATGACCCAGAAAATAAGTTCACTAAATTGGAGCGTGTGTGCTATGGGACAAGATAATACAAACATGGGTCCAGAAATGCTTTGGCAACGAGTTAGGGCTATTTGAAAAGATGTTCCCGGCAACAGTAGATAGTGAAACTTCGGATACACAAGTAATGTAAGCTAAGGCACTTTGGGAGGAAGTTGGATGTGAGGATGGAAAGTGTGAGCGATCAGTATGATCACGATCATCTTCCTAATTCCAAAACGAAACACACAGTCGTCATGTTTCAGTAACTGTGATTTGACCGCGTACACTGTCACGTGACACCAGGCGTTCTGCTCCTGTTCTGATCTTTCAGTATCGCAGTTGCTTTCTGTGTATGTGCCTAAAATGGATAGCCTCAAATTCCGAGAATATGCTGATATGCACTTAATTTTCGGTGTAACCCACGGTAATGGTGCAGTGGCTGTAAAGTTGTGCGGGTATACGCATTCTCAGCGTAGACTTGCTAACACAATAACTTCTGCGTCACTGACCGTCTGCTCTGTAAGACCAATACTGTGCGCCCTACTACGGTAAATGTCACCGATCGTCCCATGAAGAAGACCAGTGCTGTGATNTGCTTTCTTCATAGTCACCGCCGTGAAAACCTCAGATCTTACAAGACCAATGCTGTTCGCCCTACTATCATAAACGCAAAATACTGAGAGCATGAACATTTGACATGGAAGTGCGCAGACGCATAGATTAGAATCCCCTTGTCAGCGTTCGTCGAGTACAAGCATCTCAATGTATACTCTCCACGACAATGTGGCGGGTTTTCCATTAATTGTTGCTGTACCCGTACCGTTTGCAACGGGTTCAGGCTCTAAGTTCGTACAATTTTGCCCACCCCAGGAATTTTGGCAGTGGTTCCTTCGACTATGTGAAGATCCCTTCTTTGTTGTTCTTAAGTTGGTTACTTAACTTCGCCGACAAGCGGCGGTCGTTCGGTCGGTATAGTTCGCTTGCGGACTAAAAGCACGGAGTTGTAATTTGGTTACTTAACGACGGTGTCTGTATCGAGAATATATAGCATCGGTCCTTCCTTATTACCCACATACTCTTCAACGACGAAGCAGGCTTCTTGAAGAAATACAACTAAATTTTCATACAGTACACATTTGGAATGATGTAAGCCCACACAATACAAAGCAATCGAGATATGAACAGCAGTTTCCACTTAACGATTGTGTTGTGACAGGCTGTTACACAAAGCTATACGATCTGCTTAATACAGTAGATGGCACTGACTACCGTAATTTGTTGGAGCAGAGTTCGCCGTAGTTATTGGGCACTGTCTCGCTGGATATTAGACGAAACATGCGGCTAATGCATGAAGGTGCCCCAGACCATTTCAGTCATACCACCAGAAAGTACCTTGAGACTGCCCAGGAGGAAATTAAGAGGAGATTGAACTCGGGTAATGCTTGTTACCATTCAGTCCAGAACCTTTTGTCTTCTCGTCTGCTGTCCAAAAACATAAAGATTAGAATATAATAAACTATAATTTTGACAGTGGTTCTGTGTGGGTGTGAAGCTTGGTCTCTGACATTAAGGGAGGAAGGTAGACTGAGAGTGTTTGAGAACAGGGTGTTGAGGAGAATATTTGGACCGAAGAGAGATGAAGTGACAGGAGGTTGGAAAAACTGCATAAGGAGTTTCATAACTTGTACTCTTCTCCAAGTTGAATTAGAATGATCAAGTCAAGGAGGATGAGGTTGGCAGGGCATGTAGCACGAATGGGAGAGACGAGGAATGCGTATAGGATATTGGTGGGGAAGCCAGAAGGAAAGAGACCACTGGGAAGACCAAGGCGTAGGTGGATGGACAATATTAAAATGGATCGTAGAGAGATAGGATGCGATGACATGGATTGGATTGATTAGATTGATCTGGCTCAGGATAGGGACCAGTGGAGGGTTCTTGTGATCACGGTAATGAATCTTCGGGTTCCATAAAATGCTGGGAAATTCTTGAGTAGCTGCAAAATTGGCGGCTCCTCAAGAAGGGCTCAGCTCCATGAGTGAGTAAGTAAGTAAGTAAGTAAGTAAGTAAGTAAGTAAGTTGCCTACACTGGGTGATACATAGGAAGGCTGGAACCAGTATTACTGATCACAGCAGCGCGGTCTAAGGCATGAACTGTCTTCGCACGCTGAAACACTGGGGTCGTGGGTTCGAATTTCACTTATGGCATGTGTGCGTGTACTTTTGCTGGCAACACATTCGAATGGCAATTATTTGTTACAGTAGCACTTCCGGGCTCTTTTTATATAATTTTTTACCGCTTTGAGCCTTACCATTCAGCCTCTAATTCATTGCAATTACTTCTGAGTACTTGAATGTAAATGCTTACTCGTATACGTGTATATATTTTTATAGTTTCGAATTTTGTAGAAACCGAGGATTTTATGAAGAAAATATCATTCAGTTAAAAGACTGTCAAATACGTGGGTTCAAGAACTCAAACACAGAGAAGATGGGATTCCTCTTTTAAATATCAAGGAATAATTTGGGAATCCTATAATCTGCAAGCTATTTTTAGTGTCACTTCACTTCCCTGTTCATGTCAGTCGCTACTGTACACATCATTATCTTTTGAAGCCACAAACACGATTATAAAAGGGAAGAAACACAGAAGGAACCTACCTGAAGTAGGAGCAATACCCGCAGAACTGTAATTTTGAAGTATCAATTTGAATTTTTGTTACATAACAACTGATCTGAAAAATCTAACAGAAAAGGAGAGTGGGATATCAGAGGGCAAAATATGAGCTGAATATTTATGTCTAGGAAAAGAATGGCTAAGAATTTTACATTTTACATTGGACGTATGGATTGATTAATTAAGGAACCTGAAATGGCCAAGCATGTGGCATGCATGGGCCACACATAAAAATATTTCCTTATAAACAGGTTGCTTGGAAAACAGCAAACTGGATAATGTGAACTGGACTGGACAGCCTAAAGGCAAAACCTCTGTAAGGTTTTACGACGGCAGTGGTAGGAACTTCCACGCCGACAATACCCGAACTTTGCCATGGAGCTCCCATGGAGCTTTATTTTGTAGTCCTGTAGCAGAAATCGCACTGTCTTACCATGTGCATCCCTGTAGTAAGCGTGTGTAACACTTCTAAAGCGCTCTTGACCTGCTGTGTCCCAGATTTGAAGCTTCACTTTTGACTGGTCCACCGTCACGACTTTGTTCTGAAAGGCAGAGACATGTTTATAGGCAACATATATTTGTGTCTGCTGAATTGTCAACTGAAGCTAACTTCTTGTTTCATAAAGCAGAGAATTATACGTATGCTCTGACATAAATAACAAATAAGTTGCTGATAAATCTTCTAGGTCTATCAGCCTTATCAATTAATTAAAATTTACCGACTTTTCAGGGACCATCTGTCCACAAGATTAGGGTCTGATTATCACGTCCTGATTATGGGGTCCCTGAAGTATCAGTAATTTTTAACGAAGTGATGTGGCTGATTATCTGTCCCAGATCATCAGGAAACAAATGGATCCTAAAGAGTTGGCATTTTTAGCCAATTGGCACGGCTGGTAGCCCGAGGAGATTTTATCAACTTTAGCCGCCATGAAAGCTTCAGATCTTACATAAATCTATTGTTGTTGTCTACTGAATTTCATGAAGTTCAGTACTCAGAAGGGAAAGATGCGTTATGATTTCGTAAATAAAGAGTCAGAAAGGTGAAAGAGTTTTGTGTCAGACTTGTGCATAACATTCCCATGCACAGAACTGCCTTTTCCCATTCTGAGCACTTCTAGGTCACAAATGCGATCGCAGTTGAAACATGTGAGATTTTGGAGACTGAACTGAGAAATATACGGCACAAAGTAATATGAGTACAACACGATTCATCGCTTGCTATAAAGCAGGACATCAATTTGCTAGAAATGGATTATTTATAGAATATGAAATAAATATGGTGTTTTATAGTAATAATCCACATATTTGGCGTTCTTTTAATGCATTCCAAATCGACGTGCAAAGAATTCAGCCAACAAGCTGACATTGCATGTTCCAAGGATAGACATACATTAATATCCGGCTTAATACTTCTAAATTTATCTCCTGTCTTATATTACATTACAGTAAAATTTCCTGATAACATAATATGGTAATTACTTATTTATATTGCTCAACACTAAAAAACAGGCAATATTTAATTTAAAGTCACTGCTTGAAATAACCTTATAATATTTCTTCATAATTTTCACTGCATTGCAATTACCGCCGATATAAAGAACTAAATATGATTAGTTCTAAGAAAAACTCTGTAAAACTATGAGTAGGCCTAATCTATAATATCATATCATGCCTTCCAATGTGATGACTTTATAAAACACAGACCGATATTTAGGTAGTCCTGTAGTCATGTAAAATATTAAAAATGGATCACTTGTGACATAATTATGAGAAATACGTTTGTTTAAACTCGTAGATTAACAACAATGTAGAAGAAGCACTCTGGCGAGTAGCATGTCAACAATCAATGGTACGGACTTGCAAAATAGATAATGAAATAATCATGTGACTAGGAAGCTGATAATCAACTAATGTCGTTGTAGGAATGATGAATTTTGTGATGGCCACTGCAGACGCCGCAGTGCCCTCACCCGGAAGTCGATGCCCACTGTGGAGATGAAATTGCCGGAGAGGAAGAGGCCGTCCCGGAATCTGACCAGCAAACACGTCTTTCCCACGCCGGAATCTCCCAGAAGCATCACCTGTATCAACAGCAAAGCCAAGTACATGTTGAAGTTACTTGTTACTTGCGGATTTCATATTGAGTGCACCTAGAGAAAGGAAAGAGACAAGCGTGGGAACCAATAGAGTGTAGGTCCAACAACCGAAGAAAAATTGTTATGTCATCAATCTGATGAGCTAAGGAGAACTGTCATTTCTCTCGATCTTTATTAATTCATGAATCCATTCGTACAGCATCTCACACATGGTTCGTCCCGTGGAAGCGTACATAAATCTCGGCACGTTTTTCAACAACGCCGCAATATTTATTTCACACATAATCGAAGATACTGGGCCTACTGCCTGAGAAATGCCAATTTCAAGAGACTGAACTAACAAAAGAGTTAATATTGTATTATCAACATTATAGACTTATCGACTGCACTATATATTTTGTTAAGGGCCGTTTAACTGGCATCTAGAGTTTCTTATAAACAACTATTTATGAATCGCGAGGTGTTTCCGCTTCAACTTTTGACACATTTCTCTTGATTATCCAAAATAACCCCTAGGCAGTTATAATTCGACTCAATCCATTTTCCAATTTTCTTGATTTCTCACTTTCGAACTCTTCTTAAATAAGACTGTTCTTATTTTTTATTTTTCACATTCAGTTGCCACTTTTTACGATATTTCTTCACAGTACTCGAGGCTTTCTGTGAACATTATATATGGACAATTTAGCATAAATGTTAACCAAGAATAAATGGAAGAATGCCAGCGCATTCTATCTTTCAGATGATAAGGATAAGAAATATCATTATTTGTAGTCGTACTCTTTACCTAGTGTCATAAAATTATTTACTGGAAAATGAGATTAGCGAAATGTGTAGCTTGCATACGAAGCTGAGAAATGCAACAAAATTTTAATCGGAAACCCTCAAGGGAAAAGATCACTTTGAAAGCAGATCTTAATAACAGAATATTAAATTGGATTTCAGAAAAATAAAGTATAACGGTGTGAACTTCACACTCAACTGGCTCAGAATATGGTCCATGTCGACTTTTTACGAACATGATGTTGAACCTTCGGAATTCCACACAAACAGAATTTTCTGGTCAACTGAGCAACTTCAAGGAACCTATGAAGAAAAGGCCTGCACCATGGAATTATTTGATACCGAGTCGTTAAATGACCCGCCCACAAACCAATCCTGAGGTGAAATTAAGGCTTACCTTGCAGGTGAAGTCGCAGGCCTCCACGGGTCGCAATGGTGGCCGGAGAGGTGTTGGTGTGGAGTCCCTCCGCACCGTACCGACAACTGGGGAACCATTGGCATGAGGCGGTTGCTGAGTGTTCCAACTCGGTCGCGTCACCACGCGACGCACTTGCTGGTGCTGCACGTCTGCCATGACACTTCCAACAATACAAGCTGCAGGACGCAACCACTTTATTCTTCATTCTCAATTAAACTATTAATCCCTCCATGCCGAATTGAATTTAGAAATCAGATGCCTCTTCCACTGTAAAAATCCTAGGTACAAGCTTAATATCCACTACTGCAAAGACAGTTAGTTTTAAATGTCAAGCGCTGACAAGAGAATTTATTTTCGCTTATATTACGCAACGCAAGATAACTAACAAAATAAATAGCCTGTATGTGTGAATGGTTTGCTCTGTTCAGAGGCTGCAACATTTGTACCACAACATATGGAAAAAGAATAACGACTTTAAATGAGTTCTGAATAAAACTTAGTAGTGCGGGTAGCTCATTATACGATTTCGAGGGGCCAGTCCTTGAAAGGATAATAAGTGTTAGAATTTGTCTATTATTTAATTTCCTAAAATTAATATTTTGTCATGAAACTTCTTTATCTATGAAGAAAAAATCGGTAGATTATTAATATGTCATCATGTCCGAAATCATAAACATGCTATTTTTCGACGATTTGTAATTTCACACTCACCATAGCATATCGAAACAAAAGCATACAGAATATTTCGTACAAAATTTTGGAAATTGTTTATAATATAACACGGACAGGAGATTTTCAAATGTCAAGTTGGCCCACACCGATTCACGAGTTAATGATAAGAGAAGCGAAGTATTTTACATAAATTATATGTTGCGTTATGTTTCATTTCCTTAAAAAATTACTGTACTACACGTTACGTCGTTTTCACAGAACCATCATGCAGAACGTTAGGTTTTCCAGTGATTGCGGTTAGCCTTTTCTAACCTACCCAACAGAGTAGGTATCTCCCACCCTCTCAACTGGAGAAGGAAACAGACCCAGTTTCCCAAACGTTGTGTTCTTTGGAATGCCGGACGATAAACAAAGTCCAAAAACGCAGTAATACCGAGTGTTATACATCATCGTCAGGAACTTCAGAATCTACAAAATATTTTCCGCTAAAACATTTGTTCGCTGTGAAAAATTCTGCCGAAAGCCGGGGTAACTTGGGCACCCATTAGGTCTCTATGAAAACGTGGATCTACCTCATTATTCGTCTTAATGGCACGATGCTTATCTTCACCGTGAACATAAAGATAGTATATAAAGTTTATTAATGTAATATACTTCGTAAATATATAGGTCATAAAATGGTGATTTGAAGTTCTACGGTAATTCTGCGTATGCTCTTGAGCATAAACATGTCACAAATATGTGTGTACCACCTGTTTCATGCTACAGCTATTTTTCAATAAAAAATATACCAAAGTGCAAAACTAATAAATACATGAACATATCCTTGTTGACCCTTGTACTTTATTAAACTTAGATGTGCTTCTTAATTACCTCTGAGAAGGAAGAAAATGGCTATGGCCATGCAGTTAGTTAAATTTATTCTAATCAATTTATAAAAGATTGGTTGCAGTAACTGAAAGAAACACAAATCTTTCATGATACATTAACTGGAGTAACAAAACAACCATTCCCATTGATATAAAGTAAGAGAAGACATAGAGAACTCTACCAGTAGAAGCCGAACGTCGAATTCGAGTGAGTAGAATTCGTGCTTTTTGGGAGGTCCTAATATCAAATTTCGGCCCGGAGACCCACTATGCTGACTAATAGTTTTATTTTCTTCAGCCCCTTCAGGTAAATGGCTGGATAGTGCCTCAAATGAGGCCACAATGCTTCCTTTCACGACCTTCCCAATTAATTATTAAGTAAAATTTTTCACTATTCTCTAATTGTTATCGGTTAATTAAGAAAGGATGCTATGAACTGGGTGCGTAGTACGCATTCGAAACACTCAAACAATTCTACTTTGCTTTAGACAATTGAAGGGAACATATAACCTGGGAGATGTGAGCGTACAACAGAGACAACATTAAAATAAATCTCAGATCAATATAATGGAGCTGGATTAAACTGACTTCGGACAGGGTCTAATCGAAGCCTTCTGGATCGGTAAAACGGGTAATTTGTTAACAAGTTGAATAGTAAACAACTTAACAAGAGGATCCTGTATCGGAGGGTTGAAGTAGGC